TTATAAACAGAATTTGCTGGTTCAATGATACCACATTCAAGCATTTTCTTAATTTCATCCTTTACTGCTGTCCTTTTTGCATATGGTATCGTTTATTGTCTAACATGAATTGGTGTTTTGTCAGTCAACTCAATCTTGTGAGATTCAAGATCTGTAGTTCCGGGAATATCAGTAAAAATATCCTCAAATTCTTGAAGCAACGCATTTACTTCTGATTTTTGTTCAAGTGTTAATTGATCATTAATATTAACATCTCTGTACGTCTCTTCACCCTGTGTGTCTACTAGTTCTAAAAGATTTTCATCATCAACAGCTCCAGTATCATCATTATTTTCGGCTTCTATTACAGCTACACTCGCACAAATTCTATCTTTTCGTTCTTCGTATTTCTTCAGAAGGTTTATGTGGTACATTCCAATTCTATCACCTACTTTCACTTTGTAGTCAAACTTGTTAACTACTTCACTTACAACAAATGGACCTTTCCATTGTAACATCAGTTTATTGTGTGTTGAAGGCAGGAGCAATAAAACTTTGTCTCCTTTCTTAAGACTTCTTGGTCGTGTTTTCTTATCATAATGATGTTTATACTCTTCTTGTGAGTTGCTGAGATTCTCTCTAGCAATCTTGCATGTTTGTTCTAATCTATTTCTCAAATCTAGGACGTACTCATACGTATTACGTGTCTCTGGTACTTCTGTCTCTGTCCATAATTCTTTAAGTGCTTGCATGGGACCTCTAACAGTTCTGCCATATAGTAGCTCAAATGGTGAGAACCCTGTACTGAGGGTATCAATAATAAGCATTTCACCTAAAGGAGCTTTCTGAAGTCTGCCCCTGGGCACCGTCTTCTGACAAATATCACAGGAACGACAAAATCTAGTTATATCACTAGAAATACCTGGCCAGTGAAAACTAGACTGTATCCTGTCTAAAGTCTTGCGTACAGACAAATGCCCACCCACTATAGACTCATGAGCTAATGACATTACTCATGTGTGATCTTTACTAGGAACAACGATTTGTCTTGTTTCAGACTTTAAATCACCTTTCACCGTCTCAAATATTCTATACAACACATCTTTTTCTACTTCATATCTAAATTTGTTACCGCTTTTTGTTTTCATGATCTTACTTTCCTAGCATACTGCCAAAACGCTGTAACGTATTGTCATTTGATTGTTCTTTCTTAAGAACATCTACCGTAATTTCGTTATCTTCGACTTCCGGAACTTTAAGAGGTTTCATTGCTTTCTTCTCTTTTTCTGCCTGTGCTCTAGTAACAACAGCAGCTATGTTTGTTACTTCTCGGCTAACCCACTTCTCATTTGGCTTATCAAGTACACCCTGAATATTGCCCAAGACTAAGTCACAAATTGCTGACTCTAAAACCATAGCTTCTATTTCACCCTTATAATAAGGCGTATCAATGTCTATTTTTGCCATGGGTACCAACCTGGCCCGACAATCTATTGCTATCATGACACAATTTTTATTCACCATTTGATCTTCTTCCACTAACTTCTTTCTAACTACTGCTAACTCGCACCTAGTGTCTCTTAGAACTTTCACCCCTTGATTACCAACATATCCTACTTTCAGATCCAATTGACGTTCACCTTCTAATGATTCAATTGTACAGCTTCTTGTAATGACAGGCACAGAGTTACCATTGGCTAATTTAAGTTTTCCCTCTTCAATACAACCATCATAAGAACTTGTTGGAGAAATTGACATACATAACCCCGATACTTTCTTATCATCCGATCTACAATCACGTCTACATTCTCCAGGCCTACTACGCCAGTTCCTTGGTGAAGAATCCCGATTTGTTTTAAAGTAATTTCTATTTTGCTCTCCATATGACATTGCAGCAGCCCCATATCTTTTCTTAGTCTGATCTCGACAATCTTTGGCCACATGACTTTCTCTATTACATATGAAGCATGTAACTTTTCTATTTTCTCTGTGATAGTGCTGTATTGGTTTTAATAGATTACCTTGATAAAGGCGTATTGGTGATTTATTTGAAAAATTGGCAACTTTTGAGCTTTTACTATTTGTTATTGTACCACCATGAGCTTCTAAGTATTGTTCAGCCAAAGAGATGACATCTCTACGATCCTTTGGCTTTCGTTCCTTAAGAAAAAGAGCTAGCTCTGTTGAACAAACTTTGACAAATTGCTCTCTAATAATAAGATCTTTCAATTTATCTACTGTATCCGCAGCGTCGGCCATTTCTGTCCATCTACTGAAGTACCTATCTAATCGAGCCATAAATTGGTTTACAGTCTCTCCTTGTTCCGGCTTACTCTCTCTAAATTTCGTTCTGAAACCGTCTTCTGTTAATTGGTATCTTTTCAAAACTGCTGTTTTTAATTCTTGATAGTCTGATGCTTGCTCAGGAGGCATACTAGTGTAAACTTCAAGACCTTTCCCCGTTAATAAAGAACTTAAGCTTATTGCCCATGTATCTTCTTTCCATCCTTGACTAATGGAGAACCTTTCAAAACGCTCTATATAAGCATCAATGTCATCTTTTGACTCTTCAAATTTTGGCAATCTTGGCCTCAAACTAGACGTGCTAGACGGGGTATCAAGGCGATCCCCAGCCTCGATTTTTAACTTCATTAATTCTATTTCTTGCTCTTTCCTTTCCATCTCTACTTCAGCATGAAATAAACGTTTCTTTTCTTCACGTTCGGCCTCTTTTTCTAAACGCTCGGCCTCAATCAAGATATTCTGATTCTTTCTTTTGAACATAATCACGTAAACCCCCGTCCTTCAACCCAAGCCTCTCTCCCAATGATACCCATTTCTCATAATCCATAATTGCTTAATAATGAATTACTATTCAATAAGATAATTAACTTCTACGAAACCCGTTAAGTAAACATTTATTACTCAACAAAATGGTGTACCTCTGTAGCACCGATAAATGTTTTTTTTTTAAATCTAATCTCTATATAACAATGGCACCTACGGGGCACCGGCAATGAACTTGTATCAACAGTAACAACCAGGGCACCGATAATAATCTTCCTGTAGTGTTTAACAACAATGTAAACTTAAAGGAAACAAACAATTGAGCACTGGCAGCAAAAACTATCTATTCAACTTTTACATACACTTTTATGAATAATCACCCACTGAACACCGGTTATAAACTTTTATCAATTACTGATGTTTATAACTTCAACAAATTATAAGTTATATCTTTATCATCGATATAAACTTATTAACACAATGATTCAAACTATCAAAACAAATGTCTCCCAAAAACCACTTAATTCTATCACCGTATAAACAGTATTCAACAAAGGGTGCTCTCCTGCTAAAATGCAATAAATTCTTCAGTATACATAAACTTTTAAACACAGTCCGTCACCGCTTCTATACATATAAACCTCTATTTAAACTCTATTGCACAGAGAGTTTACTTGTATAACACTACAACAGATTTATCGATTTTCGCCTAACAGCATTTTACACTGCTACATTTTACCAACAGATCGAAAATGGTTTAAGGTTTAACAAAAATTTTATCAAAGTTTAACAAACAATATTTAGCCAGGAAAGATTCCAACTTAAAGAGAATATCCCGGACGAGCCCCCAAATTGTCAGGAGAAATGTCTGCCTTGATGTTATTTAATCTAAGGAAAGATTCAGTAATAAATACTGGAACCAATTTCCAAGATATGGAGGCTGGGCAGCACCGCCTGACATAAAAGTGAAATATTCTCAGTTGGAAAACTAGCATGTTATTGTTTAGTTAACACTATTTTTTTTAGGTATTTTTATCTTTTTCTATCTCAAATCAATATATACATTTACACAACAACCTCTGACTATTATTTACACCCAAAACACAGAACTCTGATCATTATTTACACCCAAAACAAACACACATCATTTATCAGCCACTTATACGAAATATCTTTCCACGTATACGTCTTTTATACGAAACAAAATAAGACACCTGGCGAGCCCAAGCTCTAAACAACTTATGACCAAACAAAACAATAAAATCACTACAAAATGAAGAACACAAAAAATGAATATTTTTACAACTCTAAGATACAGTATAAACCACAAACATTCATCCAACAATATTAACTTCACACAATCTAATCAGCATCAGAAAACAACTTAAACTAAAGCACCCAATATTTACATATATCCTCAAAACAAAGCATCAACTAATATAATCTTGACCAGACAAACATTCAACCAATATCAACCAATTATATCTTCACAAACAGATATAACTCAACAACCAAAACAACTAATTACAACCAATAAACCCTGATCAATTAAGATCACCACAATTATATTCAACCACTTCAACAAACCAACAAAACTCCCTACAAAACAACAAAATTCTCTTCTCAATAAAAAAATAACCGCTACACACTATCAGCGTGTCTCTCCTAACTGATGTAAAATCTCTCTCAAAACGCGCATATTTGCTAGCTTAAACGATTTGACCTTTAAACATGTATACATATTTTATATCCCAGCAACAGGTTTATAAATGAAATTGTACATTGAAATCTGATACACATCAGTGTATCGCTGACTCGTTGTAAAAAAAAACTATCTACAGTGAAACCGTATGATTATTCTGACATACTCACTGTTACTATTTTTTCAATAGTAAAAGGCTATTCAGAACAAAATGACCAACGGTTTGAAGGATTGAAAAACGACATGAAACACTATTTGTAGGTATAAAGGAAATGTAAATAATCTTTTCGGATTTTTCATTTTACCGATTCGTTCACCTCAATTTAATGTTTTAAATCTTCTTTGTCTTATTTGCAACTTATATACCTTTGTTTTTATTACTGTTAATGGAAATAAATATTCAGCTTTTAGCTTTATATAAGATAATTCGATTAATAAAATGTATTTTAAAGGCTTAAACAGTTACAGGTTTTCGGTAATAATGATCTATTCAAGTGTTCTACAATATGTGAAAAGGTTGATTCGCTATTACCTTGACTACAAGAACTCCTCTGCCAACCTGATTCACAGTTTCCTATAAAACACGTACCATTAACATTGTTGCAAGACGTATTACTTGCACAATGACAATTTGTTTTACAATTTAGACCAAATGTTCTGTAAGGACACACTAAAAAATAAGATAAAAACAAAACAAAAACATCAACAACAAAACACAAGAAACAAAAAATCAAACCAAAACAAAACAATAAAAGCTAATGCACTTATTTTATTATGTACAGAGCTTTAACCACCACTTTTTTGGGGAAAGAAATAAATTCAGCACACGTTAAACGCGTTTTATATTTAAACAAGATACATTTTATCTATTATGAACTCAGTTTGTTTAATTAACAAACCATAGTTCAAATATCCATTAAATACTCAATTGGATAATACGAACTATTTTCTATTCATTCTCAAACAAAAAACATATTTGATAATTACCTTGACTACAAGATTGACCAAGCCAGCCAGGACTACATCCTCCTGCTGTACACTCGCCATTGATTCGATCACAGAGTGAATTGTTGAAACAGTGGCATTTGTTTACACAATTTTGACCATATGTTCCGTAAGGACACTCTTAAAAACATATTTTCATATGTACAAGTGTAATAATCACATTAACAAATTATGCAATTAAGACTAGTGTTGTGCAGCAGAAAAATGATAAAATTCTTTTAAAAAAATAAATGAATAAATATGCATGATGATTTTCTTTTAAACAAAAATATTTATAGATATAATCATTTTCTAAAAGGTCAAATTTTCAGAACTATGTGTGAAATTTCAAATATGTTAAGTTACAAATATTATTTGTTTAATAACAGATGTCAAATTAATATTTATGTAACCAGAATATTAAAAATGGCTTTTCCTCTTTGTCCAATCAACTGTGCTAAAAGTTTTATTATATTTAGGTGATAATGTCAATTTAGTCGTCTGTACTTAATAAGTTGTTAAACCTTATGACTGATAAAATGTCCAGGTGATGATTGTTGTTATAATTCTATGTTGCTATGTTACCATATTTTGTAGTGAAACCTGATTGGTCATTTTGTTATTTAAGACACAAAAATGTTAAAATTCTATTGGTCAGTTTAAAACGAAATCCTATTTAGAAATGTTGTAAAGATACATGTAGAAAAATTTAGAGAGTTAGATTTTGGATTTCCAAGTGATAACATTGTGGCTTTCCACTAGAAATATTTGTTACTGTTTTTCAATATCTATTTGTTAACATAAGGATATCCTGTGTATATGTTATATATTATTTGTGGTATTCCACTAAAGAAAGATTAACATTAAAATATAAAACGGAACATTGTGTTGAGATTCAATCCACCTTCAGTAGAACTACAAAGTCAGCGCATAATACTAATGCTATTTTAAATTGTAGTCTTCAAGTTCAAATTTATAATGTCAATCATTTAGATATATATTTTTTATTTTTACCGTTTGATTTAAAGAAAATGCACATGTTAAAGAGCTTGACATTCGAAATAATGTTTACATGTATATATATAAATAATTCTTTTGATGCATTTCTACTTTGTAAACTATATATTAGTCTTCGATATGTGATACTTTCTATTTGTAACGGGTTTGACTATTGTTTACATGTGTCAAAAAACAGTTTTTGATTAATGTGTTAGTAAATAATAATATTGTACAAATGCATCTAGGTGACAACAAAAAGAATACTAAGATATATAAAACAATTAAAAACTATACTGAAAATGTACAATTACCTTGACTACAAGAATCACCTTGCCAGCCGGGATCACATTTATTAGATGAACACACACCAATGACTTTATCACACGGTGTATTATTGAAACAATGGCATTCTTGTGAGCAATTTTGTCCAAATGTCCGCCCAGAACACACTATATTAAATGTAAAAGTGATTCCGAAAGTAGGAATGTACATGTGGCAAAACAATTAAATGAGCCTATGCAAATAAGAAGTATTTCAAATAAATGAAAGGAATGAAAAAACTCTTACCAACGCGTCTCAGTTAATACAAATGTAATTCATTTAACTTAATGATAAATTATATTTCGTATTTACAATTGTATCAAGTAACTTTTTAGAAATTTAAGTAAATGGAAGCTGTTTCTATACTCGTAAGAGAATTAAGGTTTGACCCTCCTAGCGGGCACTATAAGGAACTGAAAAAAATGATAAAATAGGTCAGGTATATATCTTAAAGGACACATGTACGTGAAATTTAAACAAATTTTACCATACGGAAATTGAGTTATGGCCTCTTTTCTAATTCAATCTCAGGTGTAAGAAGGCCCCTTTTTAGGAACTTTTAAATAATCTACAATCAAAGTCTTGTGAAGATTTTTTTCCCATTTTCTTTAATGATAAACAAATTGTATCATAGCTTGGGGACCTTTCTATTAAAAATGTGTCAGGGTTAAATCGTATACATAAACATGCACAGTGCGTTAACTGGAGTGCAGGTATTAGTTACCCGCACTCACTCCAGAGCATGACCATTGATTGGTTCATTTTTGCTGGGGTTTACTTATTGTGACGGAAGAGAAAGGGAAAGCGACAGAAATATCATATTCAGGTGCTCGTTCATTGGTTACTTTTTTCCGGGGTGTCATATTGTGACAACAGGGAACGTGTTTTTATGTTTGACTATATGATACAAAAGAGAAAGAACATCAAAACACTCGGCAATCTGATTAATACTCGGGGGACTGCGCCCCCTCGTACAAATCAGATAGCCTCGTGTTTCGATGCTCTTTCTATTACATGTAACATTCAGCTGACAATCCACATAAGAAAATGATTGTTTCTACTCAATGTTACCCAACCCAACCAAATTTTTAATACGTGTTTGACCAATTTCCTACCTAATTTAAAAAAGATATCTTAAATGTACTAACATAAGTGCCTGTTTTCAAAGTTTCCCTAAATTTTCTCAAAAGTATAATGGTTGATCTTGTAAAAAGCAAACATTTTTCTTCCAAAAGGGATATGAGATATACATAAATAATGTTAAAAGAAATAAAAAGAAAAGAAGTTGACCTTTCTGTGGTTTGAACCCACGACCTTAAGTTTCAATGTATTTAACAGTAGTTCTAGCATATTAGCTATTCTTCAACGCGGAGGAAATGCATAAGGATGACCATACCTTAAGACTTAGTGATCTGGTGAAGGTAGTTCTTGGAAATTTGAAAGAAAGAATTTCCTCTCATAAGCTTACGTTATGGAACCTCGATAATGTGTTATATTCGAATACAAACTTAATATAAATACAAACATGACATCTTTCATTCGCATATTTTTTTCAAATCTTTATCATTTGCAATCGCTCTTCATATATAAACATTCAAGTCATATGACTATAGCTTCTCACTTATCAACCAGTATATGGTATTGTTTAAAATGATTATAATCCATCCATAACAATACAATTCATTATAAATATTATAAAAATGTAAAAAAGGTTTATAATTATAGTTGACTTGATACTTTCTTTCGGCAATATTGTAAAATTTATATTGTTGTTTCGTGTAAGTGATCTGTTGGGGAATTTAACCCTTTACCTCAAATATACGCGAATCGACGCACTTTCTATACCCCTCCCCCCATTTAAAAGCCTCAGATATTGAAAAATGTGCAAATTAGGTCCCAAACATAATTTGTTTTCGTTTTGGAAATGGTGTTTAAAAAGTGACCACTTATTTAGGCGCCGCGACCATTCAGAAAGATACATCAGGGGTGCCAGAAAGAAAGGGGTGTACGCTTTTTTGAGAAGTCCCCTCGTTGTAATGGTAACAAGAAAAGTAAAATTGAGCATGCCGTTACAAAAGCTATGGTCCAGTAAACATTTGTGACAAGTTTGATAAGTATAAATCATTTTTTAACAAACTGTTTCAATGCAATATGAAATTGTAACAAGAGGCTTTTAAATGAAAACAGGCATTTTTCACAAAATGCTCATGGAGTAATGGGTTAGAGAATGAATACTTAAAATGGTTTCAACATAATATAATCCAAATGGCACAATACCTTACACAAGAACACCCTGCCAAACCCATCACTACCAAACTTTTGTGAATTATTTTTACTTTTTTTTAAAGGCTTCACCAAGTTTTCCAAACGTTCCTTTTTGGACATGTTAAATTTAAACAAGATAAACAAAACATGCAGCATTCACGTCAAGCACACCATTTTTTTACACTTTTTTTTCCTTTCAAAAAATAACAAAGGATGTGCCAAATGATAAAGGTATGGTTGTTTTAAAATAATGGACATCAAATTATGATGGTTTAACACAAAAAGAAACCCAGGCCAAATTCAGTCTGTATCAAGCGCAAACAATTATAGCTAAAATCGGGATGGTTAATGTGTAAAATATCTTTAGAATGTAATCATATAAGAAGAAGAAGAAGCTTTATTCTTTCATAAATCTCACAATACACAATTGACAAAGCCATTATTATCACATTTTGGTGTAAACGCTTATTACACTATATACAGTCAACAATAAATCTGTCAATAAAATAAACAAAGTATATGTAAAATTAGTAAGATGCAAGAAACAAGATACACTACTCTTACAAAATTGACATGCTTTTGATTCGTAATTACTTACCTTACATTTCAGCATATATAATACAAAATAATATGTCTGAGACAAGTTCCTAAAAATGTAACTGTTTTAAAAATATCTGTTTTTGTGCATAATTGAATCTTAAATGTTTATTAAGATTGATATCAAATATAAACTAAGCATAAAACATTATTTTGCATCTTCTTTTTTCTTGGTATTATTTGTATAAACAATATTCTAACATGTCAGTACGTACTTACGAACGCACGTGCGTTTACGTATATACATACAATAAATACATGTGTACTCAAACATGATATTTTTTACTTCTTATACATTATTACTTCTTACTTATTTACTTATTACTATTTTCTATTTACAAAAACATGGCGTAGTTGCGTACACTTTTCATTTATATTTAAGATTAATATTTAAATGCCAGCTAACGTCATATATACAACCAAGAATCTAATTTAAGCCATGATAAAATCAACAATGAAATGTTATACTATTCACGAAAGTTAACACATACTTGTTAGCTATTTTTCTATCAGCGTGTTTGATTGACAATATGAATATGTATATTTTTGTATATGCCGCAGTACAACCATGTGCAATCAATAGAATTATTAAAGAATGTAACACAATATAATATCTAAATATTATATGTACATCTTCTTATCTCAAATGCTTTTTATACATATACAGATAAATTTCTTATAACTTTAACATTTTCTGATGAAAACAATTCTATCGTTTTAAACATGCTTGGTCGAACTCTGTAGTACTTTATATATTTATTTCTAATTGCGTCATACATGTTACACTCAAAATAGGAAATGAAATTCGTCTTCTAACTTATTACAGGATATGCAAAGTCTATTTTCTCTCACAGTTCTATTCCATCGGCCACATTTTATATTTAATCGATGAGAGGATACTCTCAATCTACATAATGCTTTTCTATATTTATTAACATTAAGTATTTTAAGGTATGGTTGAAAACCAAAACTACATAAAGATTTATAAAAAAAAGTAGCTCTTGTTGAGATATCAATCCTACTTTGCCATCCTTGTACAAAAACATCCTGTATTCTTTGCTTAAGGATTTGTAAAAATATGTTAACATCTCCTACTACCTGTTCTAGCCAAACATGATAAAAACTTATTATGGATAAAAACATTTAACACATTAAGCCCAATTTGATTTTTGAGGTTGATTTTCACTATCATTAAACATCATTTTATATACATTATTTATATATTTATTTTCAGGGCTGCTTGTTACTTTCAAGCAATATTTTATAATGTACACAATTCTAAGACTATATAGATCCGTTCTTCCAAGATCGCCGTATATAAAATTTTGTGTGCTTACTTTTACAACCTAATGTTCGTCTGCAAAACATTGTAAGCACCCTTTTACTTTAGTTTGCTTGTAAAAAAACCCACACCTCAGCGCCATATAATAGGACTGGCTTTATTAGTTTATCAAACAGGTCTAAGACATGATCTGAAGACAAATTAACAAACCTAGACATATAACTTTTAAACTTAAAAATTGCTTTTTAATGCTTGTTCTGATAACGTGTGACAGACTTCCTTAAAGGAGCCACCTGACGTATAAACAATTCCTAGGTACGTATAATTATTTATTGACGATTTCTAAAGTATTTCCATCATAATAAAAATCCAAGTTATTTGGTAAACGCCCCCCTTTTCGAAATATTATCATTATTGTTTATCTTTAAATTTCTGAATTTCTATCTGGAAAAATATTCATGTAAAATATTAATACTAGGTTGTACTCCTTCAGCAGAGTTTGCTTAAAGAACAATATCATCAGCATACATCAATAAAAATAGTTTCAATGATCCTATATCTACACCCTCTGCACCTTTGATGCACAATTCGTCCCCTTCAAGGTTAAAATTAAACTTGGCAAACAGAGAATGACTCAAAGATTCACCTTGTCTAGCTCCCAGATAACTATAAAAAATAGTACCTGCCTCACCATATAATTTTACTTTTTAACATAGATGTGAATATATTGATTGAATAATATCAAATAACTTGCCCCTTACACCAAATTTGAATAATTTATAATAAGACCGAATGTCTTACAAAGTAGTCAAACGCTTACAAAAAATCAACAAAGACACAAACAAATTTCTTATTTTGATTAAGAACATGATAAATAAGACTGTTAAGAACAAAATATTATCAACAGTCCCCATTTTCGCTCTAAAACCGGCTTGAGTTTTAACCTTCCATTTGTCAGACACCCTTAAGGAAACAAAACTTTATATATATATTAGTATATATATATTACAATGAACTTTCTATTTGTTACATATTTGATAACTGTAGTTTTACATTTGTTTGTTTTGTTTTGGGTTTTACGTCACATCGACACAGTATTGGTCATATCGCGACGTTCCAGCTTTACTGGTGGAGGAATACCTCAGGTGCCCTTCCGTGCATTATTTCAATATGACAGTATTTGAATTATATTTTGAGTAAGACATGATTTTTTTCTCTCAAGAAATAGCATTTATGTCTAAATAATTTTTTTCCAGCATTTAACATTCTTATCACTTTTTGGAATTTTGTCAAAAGCGTAACAAAATGTCAACAAAGTAGTGTTTTCCCTTCCGTACAAAATATCAAATACATGCAATTATATTCGTACGAATTGCAAAATACCAACAGAAGTAAATTATTGCTTAGGAATTGGCAAATAAGAATCTTCGTAGACACCATAACAGGATAAAAAGATGAACAAATGTGAAATTAATATAACAAACTTTCTAGAACATAAATTGCCTTTCCATCAAAAAATCAGAAAAGCTTTTCTGTAGCTGGCAACGCATCTTGACGGACCATAACTCGACCCAAAATCATTTTACCGAAATACTCTTGTAATATCCGCAAGAATTTCAACTACAGGTCAAACATGTAAAGTTGTATTGAAATTGCAATTATAGTACTATAATAATTATAATAGTAATCCGGACAAACATTAAAAAATAAATAATTTAAGAGCAATAACCCTTAACCAAAAAATGCCGATGAAATGCCACAACTAAAGATAGTACTGAAAATTCCTGTAACGTTTGGATGCAATGGCACAAGTAGTGTTTGAGGAGTAGTCCGGACAATTTTTGTGACAGACGGACGAACAGACTGACTCATGACGGAGAAGTGATCCCTTTATTTCGCCACTGATCTTTAGAGGCGACACAAAAATGCTTATAGATTGTTTTGGTTTTACGTCACATCGATACAGTATAGGTCAGATGACATCGAAATAACCACATATCTTTTTTTTTGACTAATAAAAGATATTTACCTTCACTACAGGAATCACCCTGCCAGCCGGGATCACAGCCGCTAGATGCACACATTCCACTGACTTTATCACATGATGATTCATTGTAGCAGTGACATTCATTTGAGCAATTTTGTCCAAATGTTCGAGCAGGACACTCTTAATTAAATATGAAAATGATTCCAAAAGAACAATTGTTGTTTTTAATCAGTTACAATGATTATCTTTGTTATAGTTTTAATGAAAAATTATATACACATGTAATTATGTAACTTCTTTAGACGTTTTGCAAATTGAGATACCATCACTTTAGAATTCTGATAGTAATTTCACAAGGTAGGCTAAGTAACTATGGTAACATATATATTATTGTTATATGCAAGTTATATAATTCGATAATATGTCATGTTCGAAAACAAATTTAATTTAAATGGCCTACATATTTTCATTCTATCCTTAGAACATAAGGTGCCATCTTTTATTCGTATATTTTTCAGATCATCTCCCATTTCGAAAGTTCTAAAAGTATCAAATATAAGTCTTACGACTATAGCTACCTACAAACTTTTCATTGATAATTAGACAATTATTATGGTGTCTGGCACTAACAAATAATTAAGATCATTTTATAAAGTATTTTGTTTAATTAATAGTTAACCTATTACTCGTACAGTTAAAAATAAGTTAAGGTTTCATATAATTGATAAAGCGGTGGCCAAGTGGTTAAGGTGCCTGCCTCTCAACCCAGAGATTATGGGTTCGAGCACTACTCGGGTCACGACCATGTTTCTTCATATGACACACGTACTGATTAGTTCCAGGAAGCAGACCCGAAAGTCATAAATATAAGTTGCAAAACTTGTTTCGCAAACGAGCTTAAACAAATATATTTAAACCAAATAATCTTTGTTTTTCTAACGCGCATTTAATATTTTTTAAGCATTTTGCATTTAGCTACTCCCTTATCAATGACATGAAGATGTTTATTTTAGGCCATAACACTGAAACGATTAGAAAAGTTATAGTAGGTTACTAAAACTGTTATAAAGCATTATTTTCTTAAGAAAAAACATTTAATTAAAGGCAAATAACGCCTAAGAATTCAATTTTTATATTCTTTAAAATGTCAAATATAGGTTAGGTAATATTTGTTTATGGATAAAGAGCATGTTAGTTGATTTACAACTGAATAAAGAAGTGTAAAGCATGCAGTTATGTATCGTAAAGGTATCAAAATGTTAACAAAGAAGTATTAGTATTTTGACTTCCATACACAATAATAATTCACTATAATTATACACATTGCCAACAGACCTAATGATGCAGTAGACAGCACAGGTTTTGTTTTTTGAAGATAAACAGTTTTTTAGAAATAAAACTGATAGCATTTCTGAGGCAAAATGGGTTCTTAAAAGTTTGCCTGTTATTTTATTTGGTCATATATCTATCAGCCATAAAGCTTATTTGGTTTCATAATTTAGTAATCTTTTTAAATGTCTAATTTAAGAAATAGCGGAATATGTTATACGTAAAGGGTAGTCTATTTTCATCAGAATACTTTATAGCGTATTACCTTGACTACAAGAACTACCACGCCAACCTGCATCACAAATACCTATTGAACATGTGCCGTTGATTGTGTTGCATGAGGATTTATTGTAACAGTGGCAATCCATTTTACAATTTTCGCCGAAGGTTCCGTTAGAACAGGCTTAAACCAGATAAATGAAACGCCTTAGTAATGACATTTTTTACAATTTTCACCAAACGTTCCATGAGGACATGCCTTAATAAGATGTTAATAAACAGTGACGACAAAAATAAAAACATGTCAAAAGCAACGCCAACAGCACAACTTTCTCTTCATGGCGTTTCGTTTTGTTGTTTTTACATTATTCGTTTTGGTATTTTAGTACCATGTCAAAATAATCAAAATAATGATTAATGCATGAAGCACATTCATAAAAAAATTTTCACGCATGTAAGTAATACTGTAACAAATTTTATACACGACGGACGTTTAACAACGACTTTCTATATTTGATATATTTACCCACTTACATTCATTGCAAGCTGATCCATCCCAACCAGGTAAACAAAAAGGTGTCTGACATTGTCCAGTCAAAGAATCACATACTTTATAGTCCAAACAGTGACATTTCTGAGAACACGATTTTCCAAAATATCCAACATTACAGATATTATCTGAAATACAATAATTTTGTTAATGATAAAATAACTGTACACTCGCTAAATAATATAATTCTTGCACATTCAATTATTATGACTAGCACAATAAAATAGGTGTAAAATATGATAAACAAGATCAACAAGGAACGACGGATTTGAAGTCTTGAAATAGTTTGTTTTTGTAAACGAAAAAAAGATGTAGGAATGTAATGCGCTATTATTACTACTACGACACACAATTATAATGTACTTATATTCTACAGAAAAATATTAATGATAAAATGTACGTATGTATTACCTTCTGTGTAAATGACAAACTCACAAATGGTGAGCATATTTCCGACAAGACTTAATATGAAGCTTTGTGCAACGACTGGTTCAGGTAGAAAATGGACAGAATGCGTAGACGTTGTGATCTCTTGCACAGTAAATAACACTTGGCCGGACTCTGATGAGCAGTCAAATGTATCACAGGAATACACCTCAGCACCTTGTAATTCATCATTGTGTTCTGAAAATATATGTTTTTCACTTTAAAAGGAAAAGTTCATACCACAAAGGTTGTCTGTCCCTATACCTTGAACGCTTACTCGAATCGAGACAAATGATCATATTGGTATATGTAACATTAATGAGAATAACTAAACTTACAAATCGAAATCCTCTAAAGAAAACAGATAAACAAGGTAAAAGGAGCTTTGATTCTTTCTATTAACTTGGTCAAACTGATATTATGATAAGGAAAACACTTCGATAATGAAATCCTTTACTTACAATAAAACCTTTATGTAAATATATAAGAAACAATGACACATGTTAAAACATATTTTATTACTTCATATTCATTTGTCAGAAAGCCATAAATCTTGTGACTTTTAGATAACTCATGGTATTAACCAAATAATTAATTATTCATTATTCACATGAAATTACAGAATACTATAGGTATGTTTTTATAAAGGTGCTGCAATGTAAAATGTCTCATGAAATAATTATTAGAATCGCTTTCAAAATTATTAATTCTATTGTAAAACGAAACGATGACGATTACATATTTAACCATTTTCAAGTTACAGTAAAATTAATTAATATGATAATTGACAATTTATTTTGAAACATTTGGTTCATATATTTTAAGAAATTGAAAAGAGTGAGAAATTTGTGTTATATAAAATGCAGATAACAATATTTCCGACACTATTTAAAGTTTTAAAACTTTGCAACATGAACGACTATTGACCCTTGCGTAGTAAGATAGAGTTTCTGGACTACGAACGGTCTTACCAAGGGACCGATAGACGGCATGCAAAGCTAAAACTCCTTCTACTATATATGTACAGGAGAATAACTATTGATTTGATTGAAAGTTTGAAGTTTAAGCCCATATGACCATCTGAATTTCCAAACATCCTACCAAGTATGTAAGCCAAAGCAACGATTTGACAAGCTCCTAATAGCGAAGGTCACAGGGACGTTGATCTTAAAGTTATCGGCATTACAATGGTAGTACGTTAGTCTTAAATAGTTTCGTTTTTGAACTAAATATGAAGACTAAAAAACAAAGCGTTCCCTATTTGTTATTTGTATGACGAGACAGGTTTATGGAAACACCCAGATATCCGAGGTTGACATAAACAACATGATTTTTAAATTTAGGATGACATTGTAACAAGTCGCTAACACTGACAACATGCTTAAAACTAATTTATATTTATGACTTAATAAAACTAGAATATATGAAAAAAGTAAATACTCAGATCGCCTCTCCCATATAATTCCACCACGTAAACCTTGTACTTGTCTTTTAGATCTACCTTCCACCAAGATGGGGAAGGTGTAGCCTGTGTTACACTGCAGCAATTGCAATGGTCTACGTCATAGTTATCTATTCCATCGATCGCATTGTATGAAGGATTATTCATAAAAATGCTGGACTGACGTGTAATTGAAGTGTTTCGTATAAAGCTTAGTATATCGATAGCTATAAAATCAAAAGAACGTGTTAAGCATTTATTCATATTGCCTTCAGAATGTATGTTAAGATACTAAATTTTCTTTGTCGATACATGAAAGAAATATCCATACAAAACGACTTTTGAAGGTATCAAATTAGTTTTGGAAATAACTGCGTTTAAGATTCGTATACTCATCATATTTATTATTAAGCAAGCTACAAATTATCTTTAATTATCGTTTAATAACGTTAATAGTTTCAACATATTTGAAAAAAAATAAATCTGCCTATAATATCATAGTTTCATTTTTACATAAAGATATTGAGGAAGAAGTTAAAACATTTCATCGTATAGATGATAGCATTTTAATTATGTTTTATGCACATGGCATATTCACCGAGTTTTCTTCCCTCGCATGAAAGTCAATATCATGAAGCCACAGATTTATACCACTCCACCAGTTACCCATTCTAACCATAGTGGATTTAACAAGTTAGAGTAACTATTTTTCTCAAGGAAATGAGCAATATTCAAGATGAGGCTTAGACCCGAGACTATCCGATTCAAAAGCTCGTTTACTTAAACAAAACCACTTATTTGTACATGTATGAAACCGTAACAATGAAAGTAAAAATGTAAGTGTTTCAAAGCTATAAACAATGTTTATAAGCTACATAAAAATATTGTTTCGTAAAAAAGGAACCATATTCAATTTAGTCTTTGAATAGACAACCTGGTGTTAAAACAAGAGGGCCATGAAGGTCCACAGAACAACTGCTTTTCAGTGTTGGAATTATCCATTGCCAATTTTTTCAAATATTAAATTTGAGCAACGAATATTGTTAAACAATAATTTGAAGGAATACCATGACCTGTGTCATATAAGCTTCAGCTTAAACAGGGTCAATCAAATTAATATGAGAAAACTTGATAAAATACTACCTAAGAATGCTACAAACAAAATTTGGTGATCATCCATCAATTAGTTCTGTAGAAATAGATCTTAAAGGTTTTTATATTTTTAACCCTTAAGACCCATAAAGAGGCCACTCAGTTTAATATGGTCAAACTTAATAAAAGACTAGCAAAGACTGCTACAGACAAAGCTTGGTGATCACCCATCGATAAAATCTGTAAAAATAGATGTTTAAAGGTATTTCTTTTTTTAGCTTTAGCTTTAGCGGCCCCTTAGAGGGGCTAATCAAATTAATATGAGCAAACTTGATAAAATACTACCCAAAAATGCTACAGACAAAGTTTGGTGATCATCCATCAATAAGTTCTAAAGAAGAAGATGTCTTAAGGGTTTTTCTTCTATTTTAAGCTCAAGAGACCCCTAAAAGGGGACAATCCAAATTAATATGAGAAAACTTGAAGAAAGACTACCTAAGATTGCTACAGACAAAGTTTTGTGATTATCCATCAATTAGACATAGAAATAGATGTTTAGAGGTATTTCTATTTTTAGCTTTAGTATGGACAAAGTTTGGTGATCATCCATCAATGAGTTCTGTAGTAGAAGAAGGTTTACAGGTTTTTCTATTTTTAGCTCTGATGACCCTTAAAGAAGCCAATTGAAATGACATGAGCAAATTTAAGTGTGACTGTCACAAGGATGCTACAGATCAACTTTGAAGTAAATCTGCTCAACAGTTTCAGAGAAGACAATTGCTGACGCATGATGACAGACAACGGCCGCCGGAGTATCCCCCTTTAATACTTATAGCTCACCCTGAACTTTTGGTTCTGGTAAGGTAAAAAAATCTAGAAGCGGATTCAAAGTTTTATTGTTAAAATTCAATCTTAATGTTACTCAATTTAGAAATTCCTTGAAATGTAGGAAACAAAATGTTTGTTCGATGTTATTTATCTTATACAATTTTCCAAAGTAGCAGGTTCTTATTACAGTACAAGTACCTTTAAATATAATCTTAATATACTCACTGTCTTGAACCATCTTTATTTCGCATATTGTCAACACACTTACAGATAACCGTCGTATCATTAAATATCTAAACAGGTATGACCTTGATGCTTGTAGCTCATACAAGTGACTGTTATTTTTCGTACTACCATTATATATTAACGTTCCATTTATTGTTGTCAATGTTGTCGTGTTGCTTACAAATACTGAAATGTTCTGATACTGTTCCTGGTGTCCTAAACAACGAATTATATAAAAGTATTATTAGCTATATGCAAAAAATATCTAAACACGTTATGTCTGTGAATAATTGACACAGCTATTTGAAGAATTTGATTCATGTTTAAATGTATGATCGAATTTTAGGATAAAGAGGTTGAAGATTCAATCTTTGTTTCTGCATTGTAATTAGTTATTTGGTGTAAAAGACTTTTAGAAACCAGACAGGTTTTCAGTTTAATTATTTAAACCAAAAATAAAATGCCATGTAAGCTATTAAATATCGTAAAGAAGAAATATTGATTTTAACAGTTTGAATTGAATTCGTGTTTTACAAAAAAATATGTAAAATGTTTGAGTTATTATAACTTAGGAATATTATTCATGTATCAAACGAAACGTTATGAAAATATTAAACGCACACCTTCATCAAATCGTCCAAATATCTTTATGACACTGACTCTATATATTCCGCCCAAATCTAATTGTATCCATGGTGGTTCGGTACCTGATGTAGAAGCACAACACCTGCATGTGTTTGGGTCTCCTAGAAAGACATTGTCTACAGCATTGCTGCTATTCCAGGATGATTGTGGAACATTATAATTGCTGGTACTCGACATTGTAACTGACACTTGCTCTTTTATTCTCTGAACAAGGTTGTCTACCGGCACTGGGATAATAATAAATCTTATTTTACATAACAACATTTTAAAACAGTATTTCTTTGATATAAAATTAATTCCTAAATGTATGACTACTTTAAGTTCATGGATAAAAGTTTTCCTTTAACACGAAGTGAACAATTCAATTCTCAAATATTAAAATAACAATGAACTATTACTAATACGTTGGATAATTTATCCTGTTGTCATAGAAATTTGTATTTGTACTCATTGCTTTGGCAACATATATTTTTACCGATATATTTGTTAAAACCTTAAAATATCTTAATGTACGAGTATAAGGTTAGAATATGTACAATTTACTTTGACTTACTTGTCTTTAGTGTCAGTATGTCATGGCAGTGTAGAAGTAATGATAGGATGAAAACATAAATCATCCTTGAAAACCTCTCTTGTACCAGAACCTGACAACGAAACAAACTCATAAAACGTTCGTGATTTATAACTTTATTTTTCTTTGATGTCTAGTGTTTTCGTTATTTTTTTATTTACTAGAACATATATCAGCCTATAAGCATTGGGTTTTTATTGAGATATTGGAATGCAACTGACTTGTGAAGTGGAGGTCAACGTTACCTATCGTTTGATCGTTGAGTGAGATTTATAGTTACACTTGGTTTAAATATAAAATTCCAAACATCATAGTTAAAAGTTCAGTACTTACACATTTCTAAATACATTGTTCAAATAGTATATAAGCTTTGGAAGTCACCCATTTGTTGTTGTACCTTTGGTTAAATATGTAAATACATTTAAGCGAGTATCTATAAAACTACTGAAGAATGTACTGAATATATTGTACTTCCAAAACCTATTCTCTGAAATTATATAACATGTTTGCACATGTCCCATAATATGTGTCTTCTATTTTGCAGAATAATGCCCTTTAAACACTGAAACTATTTGGTTAATTCTGTGTGTGTTGTCTTCATGACTACTGGAAGGAATGTATTACAACTTTACACACTTCGATGACATGTCTGGTATCTAAATATGTATTTCCCGTCTGAAACCGTTTTCGCTTGTAATCACTTGAAATGACATTGTTTTTAATATATCAGGTGCAAATAAGAACAGATAATAAAATAGATAAACAGATAATTCAGTTCATTTAAAAGAAATAACTACACAAATGTGCATAAATTTTGAACTTAATCACAAAATTAAACATGAATAATTATTGATGCAAATACAATGTATTTATAACACAAGTTTTAATACGAATGGTGTACGTGTTATCTAACAGACACAGAGAGATTCTGCACCACAAGCAGGTATGCCAAAGTTAAATTTGGAATCTGAGGTGCCATGCTCATTATAAATACTCTGTCAACCACACTTTTGCTATGCATATTTGTATACGCACAAAGATCCATATGTTTAGTGCCCCTTTGCACCAATTTGCGTTTGGATATTATTGGGACTGCATTCAATAAGAGTAGAACTCCCTTGTAGATCTGTTTTCCATTGTATTACTTGCACGGTCAGTAATGAATCATGATGGATCTTAATAGCTCAAACCAAAACAAAAATAAAACATAATATCTTTTTAGAGGTAGGTCAATTGTCAAACTGTTAATCAGGGTCGAAGTTTCATTCCAAAGTTTAAAGTACAAGATGATAAATTTGTATATCAAGTTTTGCAATGTATTTCGAAAGTGGGTCACTTGTGATTATATAGGTTTAGCCTGTTCATTGACGTAGTGGTAAAATAGGGAAAAACAGTCTCCCTTGATAGACACAACGCGGCACAATTAAAAAAATTGCAGGTTTGGTTTTAACGAGTCTGTACAGAGCCTATCTATGGACGGTAGAAGTAAATGCAAGCTACAATCCAATACTCTTAGCATAGGCCTACAGCAAAATTCAATTTTACACATGAAACTGGTGAATCGTCAATTAAGATGATCCGTTAATGTGTTCATACGGCGGTTATCGCGGTTAACACTTTTGTGCTATTATATAAAAAAGGCTTATAAAAATAAAAACAAATGCGTGTGTCTTGAATGGCAAAACAATGGATGGAACTAAACAAAACGTATATATATATATATATATATATATATATATATGGATTTATATTCAATCAACACATTGAAAAACACATTTTCCTTTACTAATTAGTTTCATGCGCAAAACGCAATCTTCAGAAGTTTTGCGTTTTGCGAATGAAACTAATTAGTAAAGGAAAATGTGTTTTTCAATGTGTTGATTGAATATAAATCCATACATACAGCTCTGGGATACCATCGAGCACTCTGTCTAGGTTTGTACTGACTTTTAGTGTTATTGGATTTATATATATATATATATATATATATATATATATATATATATATATATATATATATATATATATATAAAGGGAATCAGATGTTATGCATATCACATAGGACGTCACAAGAAAATTTAAAACTTAGGTAACACAATCTTGAAAATTAATGCTTAAATAGTATTCCATTCGGAATACTTGAACTATCCACCTTGAAAAAATCAAGAATATGGATCTAAAATACCTTTCATAAAAATATACCGTCATACCAAACAAGGACCGGAAAAATTACATCTCTACATAAAATCAACATTACATGAAACCATATACTACAAGAACCAAACACATTAATTAGTTCAGTTGCAAATTCAAGTATTTCTAACAAGAGCTCTCTTTTGAAACAGACATATGTCCATAAGCAAGACCAAGGATAGGACCATGACCGTTGACTTACATAAATGCATGGTTATTATAACAAAGAGTGCTGAAACATTTACATTTTTCTTCTAATAATATCTTCTTATAATATCCTGTGGATGAGGGTTTGCCTTTAAGGATTGATGCATCTGAATTACAGCCACCGTCTTTGTCTACGTGACTATATAGTTCGGACTTACTAGAGTCTATGCATCTCCTAGCTTCAGAAGGTGAAATGGTTTTGGTCCCTAGTGTTGCTTTAAGTTTCTAACATCCAGAAAAAATCCGAAATCAGCTTTTTTCTGTTTCAGCGCCATATGACCTAAATTGTGTAGGTGCGCCGTAAAACCAGATTTAAAAAACTAATGTTCACAGTGTGCCCATTTATTTTAAAAGCATCCATAAATGAAAATATAACTAGTTAATAAATTCAATGCACTTTTTTGCCATCGAAGTACATGTATATCCATTCCCTTTTCTAGCTGTCCAACTGGCGTTTGCTTGTGAAAAGTTTTCCAAATGTGCCTACTAATTCATAATTCCATAAAGCCATAGTCTGACCTTGATGTTTATGTTACCTGCAAATGTGCTCTAACTCATCAGAATCTTTTTAAAGTAACATATATTTAGGCGACAAAGATATGGACTGGATATCAATGTACTTTCATATAACGACTTTTGACATTCACGCATGCCAATATATAAGTATATGATAAAATGGACGAAAAAGGCAAAAATTCCTTAAATTTGATAGAGATTAACTAGGCATTTTTATTTATATATAAGCTATATGCATCGTTGTATTAAGAAGAAAGCAATGTAACATCAGTGACCCCTTGGTTAATCCAAGTCACGGCAATACGTTATCGTTCGAGAAAGATGTCCCCCTTTCCAACAATCATTATACATTTATTTCTCAAATATACATGTACAATCAAGTAATGATTGACGTAATGCAACAACGGTATATATGAACTTTGTTTATATAAAGTTTGATATCACATATTATTTTACCAGTCTTCATGACGGACCAAGTGATACAAAAGATTGCCAATATCTTAAGCGTTTTAAATTTTTTACAAACAAAAATCGTTAGTAATTTGTATAAACAGTCGATTCTTACTTATATAACGGATTTCAACTTTCAACTTAGTATATTTTATGGTTCTTGGTATTGTTTTAAGAACAAAGATAAAAAAAAGTGGAACGACACATCGAAAAAAAACGACTAATTTATTAATTGTATTAATACAAATCACAGATATGTATAGAAATCGAAAAGCCGAGTGCTTACTTGCAAAACAGACGAACTTCAATATCCAACAACAAACGTTTGACTGTGATCTCTGACAAGCTAACCAAGGCTGTTATCTATGCACAAACACTTACACATATCACAATGATAAAAGTTTCTCTGAAAGGTAGATTAGAAAGTAGAAGTATGTGCATAATACTGGACGAATTATGCAGTTTAATGTCTACTGTCCACAAATGGGGTCACAATGAGCTTGCAAATTTTCTTATGTTACAGTGTCTGACAATCATTATCTGAATGATGCAGTTGTTAACTATGTTTTTATATAAGTGACATTTATAAAAATCGTTCTTATAAAATGTTATATAATAGTAATACAAACTTATTTTTTTTCTCAACTTTTATACAATATAATATCATGAATTAAGTCGATAAATTCAAACATTTAATGACTACATAATGCATCTGTTTACATGTGAGGTTAGGTAAACATACAACAGTACCCGTTCGTGTATTCATAATATTGTGTTTGAGTTCCATACACAAAGATTAATGGGGAGAGGGCTGAAAAGTTGTGATTGGCACTCATAAATAGTCTTACCGGAATCAAGTACAAATCAGGTATAAAAAACCTAAACTCATTACTTGCCCTTATTGATAACGTGAAATTATAATTGACGATAATTTATCAACTGTAAGGTTAAAACCGAAATATAGAGTGCATTGTCTTTCATATGCATATTATACAAACATTACAGTAAAATATCAAATATGTGTTTACAAGAACCATCATATTTGTTTCTTATCTAAAATTATATCATAGACAATCATTTTTTTTTAAGAATTTAAAAAATGTAAAAGACATCAAATACATATGAAACCTGAACATACCGCGTTCATTTACCTGTACAAATGATGGTGGTATTATATGCTATATCAAGGTATAAGTATTCGAAGCGTTGATCTCAATTCGTAGTGTTTACGGTATTGAATAAATACAATTTTAAAGTCAATTCAACGAATTCCAAAAGAGCAACCTAACGGGGCCACAACATGCACGCGGCAGATTTGTCCATTTAGCAATGGGAAAATTTCTAGTTTTTTTTTTTTTCTTCTTCTTTTCTTTTTAACAAAATTAAACTGTTTTCAGATTCTCTTGTAAAAATAGCTTTTCTGATATATCATCGAACTTTAAGGAATATAACAACAATAAACGTTAGTGATAGTTGCATGTTGCATGATCTTTCTATTTTTATTTATCTGATGAATAAGGAGTCAATGCGCCAGTCTATATTCTAACGACTAGAACCAAATTTGTACAGGGAAACAGTGGTATGACTTAAATACGCAACGGAGATTTTTTTGGCGCAAAGGAGGCACTGGACATTGTATTTTGCAAAACAGGCACAACGTATGCTTATTCATTTTTTTTTCTTCTTTTCTTTTTAACAAAATTAATCTGTTTTCAAATTCTCTAATGAAAATAGCTTTTCTGATGTACAATTTATCATCGAACTTTAAGGAATAAAACAACAATAAACGTAAGTGAGAGTTGCATGTTCGATTACATAATCTTTCTATTTTTATTTATTTGATAAATAAGGAGTCAATGAGCCAGTCAATATTCTAACGACTAGAACCAAATTTGTACAGGGAACCAGTGGTATGACTTAAATACGCAACGGAGAATTTCTTGGCGCAACGGAGACACTGGACATTGTATTTTGCAAAACAGGCACAACGTATGCTTATTCATAAAAATAATTAAATGTTTATTAATAAAACAGATTAACTGAGATACAAAAGTAAGTTTAACGTAAATAGTTTGAAGGATTCTATACTGGAAAAATGGCCGCAAAATGGCCATGCTTATGACGCAACAGATATAATTATTTATAAAGGGAACAATGTACGGTTAAAAATAACAATTGTCAAACTAAACTAAATTATAATTATATCTAATAAATGTAGTGTCAACTTAAAAGTATGTTGTAAATTTCAATAGGATTTTAATATGTGTTTGGAAGGTTATACAAGCTTGCGACATGGTATGTATAAAGATTATAATGAATGATTATAAATTACAACCATTAAAATAAAATTTATTCTATTGAATATAACATCATAATGGAAATTTGTTTGGAAATTCAAATGGAATGTTTTCTAATTTTTAATGTTTAAAGGATTATATATGTCAGGAAAATGGACATATTATCGGCGCAAGTAGATATGTTTGTCTTTGTCATGAATTCATTTTTAGTATACCAATCATTTCATTTTTACTTGTAATTCAATTTAATTTGCTTCGACCAGACCTTTCAACCTTTAAAAGTACCACAAACACAAGAATATTGTCGTGCTGAACGATCTTTAATGATCGAAAATATAAAATCCCTGATTGAATGTACGGGGGGGGGGGGACTTTTACAGCCTGCGGGTACACTACGCTTTGAATGTTAATAGTACTTAAGTTACATACAAACAATGCATGACCGGAACATATCTGTGTGTGTAACTACGACACTATATCACGTGGGTTGACCATGTGCAGTTTAATAGAAAATTGTGAAATTATGCATAGATAGATTACTATTATTATCACAAAATCCATTTTATCAAAATAAAACGGTTTAGAACTGTTCGATATTTAGAACAGGAGATGTGTAAAGTATGATAAACTAGATCAACAAGGAAAGGTGGCGTTCAATGAACGCAATCCCCGTACGACCCAGCAACCAGAACCAGTGGCAAGGAGCTTAGGTGGACAACAAACAAAAACAGGACAGAGCATAAGCCGCCGGATATTTCGGTATGTAGAGCCGCTTAACGGTATTCCGAGGGATCTAGTCAGGCCGCAGATTTTTTCTCACCCAGTGACATTTGGCGCCCAACGGGATACCTTGAATGCAATTAGCTAATAATTTAACTCATAATGTTCTGTAACCCTGAGCCATTTGGTGAGGCTGCATTATCTTTTACCCCGAGACAAAGATCCTATGTATTGTCTGTTGAATGTCGTAATAAAAAAAAATAACAAGAATAAAGATCAACGAGGCAAAGGCAACGTTCACAGGACGCCGCCCCCGGACACACCCAAGCAGGACACCAAGAAGGCACTTACAAGTACCTGTAGTGGACACAAGGGCGAAAGGAGCGGGACATGTAATGTGAAATAATATAAACAAAAACAGGCTCATAAGGGAATTGAAGGGAAAAGGGCTATACGGGTGAAAAGGCGGGGGGAATTAAAAATGGAAGGGGGGGGAGAGAAAATCCCTACCGTCAACGACAATCCAAAAAGACAGACATCACAAAACATGTTAACATCCAAAAACAAGTAACAATACAGACAAGAAAAACACGTGAAGGAACACAAAGAGGTACCGCCTTGGAACGGTCAGTGGTAGTTAAACCACTGGGGAGTTTAAACCGGTTTTAGGCGCGCCAAACCTCACTCTTAGCCCCAATATGTTCCTGAATGACACGAAAATATATATATAATTAATCCCCGTTAAGTGAAATTCTAACAATGGTCATGGTTACATTAGACGAAATAAATAAAACACATACAAAATTATGTAAATATGTAAAAAAGTTACTGCCTAATGACCATTACCAAAGTACTCGATGCCTTAAAGGAAGGCAGAGCAACAAGAAAATCACCTACAAGGGCCCGACGAAGCAAGACAGAAGACGAACATTAAGACATAGCCATAAGGTTGTCGTTGTAATGGAATAATAGAGAAATAAAACAAAAACAGTTATAGCTACTGTCTTTGAATCATTATTTGAGCCTATGTTTACATTACAAAGATTAATAACAATTAAAAAATTGTTACAGCTCGAATTCGCTTTTCCTTTCAATTTCTTTGTACATCAATATTGACAAAAAGGGGTGTCGATTATGCAATTATAAAAGTATACTATTTTTTGCATAAATTTTCCCACCTAAGCAATCGCTCATTTTTATGCGTTTAGCAATATAGCGTAGTGGTAGAGAGTTCGCTCTGTCAATGTAAAGACCCTGGTTCGAGTCCTAGAAAAGGCTTCTTTTCTTTTTTTATGTTTTGATTTTAGTTTTTTTCTTGTTGCATAGTCGTGTGGGGGTAGCGACCATTGAACGCCGCCTTTCTTGATATTTTACAATGAAAGGAATTCAGAGTTCCAAACTAATGCTATTCCATCTGCTAAAAACCAAATACATTCAATTTTGCTTAACCGTCACAAATTTAACTTTAAATTAAGCAAAACTTTATAAAAGAGAAAATGAAAAGTAAAGTGACACGCTATAAAATGTATTCTGAAAGTAAACACCATACTCAAGAAATATGCACAATTGCATATTTGAACTCGACAGTTCATTTTCGTATAACAATCTGAGCTCTCTCACCAGTGCGTTACTCTGATTTACGCGCTTTCATTTATATTGAAATATGAATGCAAAATATAATAATTGAAAACACTTGAACCACCAATTATATATTACCGATAACGTAAAAGTTATCGTGTTCGACTTATATCTGGTGTTACATATTTTGACATTTTCAAAATTGGTTACTTTACAGTAATAGCATTGACGTCATCCATTCTCACTATATGATGGTCTGTTTTTCCCTTGGCTACTTATGTGTATATGTTACATATAACCAAAATATGTGTAGCAAGGTCTGTTCTTTACAGGTTTTTACTTGCCTTATAACCTAGCTTTTCGCGAAATGGAGTCAAATTGTCCTGAACAAAACTATCATCACCTGATCTCTTCCTGGCACTAAAAAATCTCTGTCTAACCTTCGAGTGCGTAAATTTTAAAGTAACCTTGCGGTTGAAATTCTTTTCGGTGACATTAGTCGATGTCAGATTCGTTAAGAGTCAGACCAACCATTTTTGTTTTATCTTAGAGCTTCCTCTAAACATGCTCGTCTTCGTCTGGTTTGCCGCTATTATCTGGGATTCCGGAGATGTTTAAACACACCCTCCGCCCGTAATGATTAAGATATGATTAAGATCGTTATGTTTTGCGTGTGCTGATTTGTAGATTACTTATTTCAGTTTTCAGTACAGAAATTTCGTCTCGAAGTACTTGTGTTCCTTTATGTATCATTCCATCGACTTCAAGCCTAATATCCTTCAGTACCTCACCTTCCAGTGCTGATTTAAAGATTTTTGTACATTAATAAAGCTAATTTATCATTCCGTTCATTGCAATTATCTTGGCTGAACGTCATATTCACTGAAGAGTTTGTAGTTGGTTGGGTTACTGATGAGGTACTTAATGTTATTATATTATGTTAATATCAGACTCGAGAGCTACACAATAGTATGTCCCCTCTATCTCACCATCAACTGTGATATTACTCACGATAATTGCAAATTAATTGTAATAAGATATTCCCAAGCACGACTCACAACCATGTCAAGCGGAAAAGAAAATGTTTCAAATAGCTATATTCAGACATTCTGACCGATGCACAATTAACGCAGATCGGAAATACTACATTTAAAATTTATGATTTTGTATTTATTAACGAAATAATAAATGTAATAAATACAGATGTAAATATGATGAGCAGGAGCGGCGGTAAATAAATTGGGGTCCTTATCATAGTCCTGTCTTGGAATGGTACGCGCAACCACTGGGTGATGTATGCAAATTGGAATATGATAGGAAGTTAACAGTAAATATAATAATCATAAATTAAGACAAATGAAAAGCAACATACATCTAATCTAGAGGTAATAGATGGATATCAAAACATGCATCGTTAAAAGTAGATAACATTCAGTTATATAGAGAAATATGGTAAATGATATAACAATGAAAACAAATCAAATAATTTAATATATAAAACAAATCATACATATATCGTGAAAATAGTATAGAAAAAAAACTGAATAGTTAATCATTTTTGTTGTTCCGATAGTTGTGATTTTATCATAAATGTCTTAAGGCCTATACATTAACATTCTAAACTTGTTCATTGAAAAAAATCAGCATGATATGATAAGGCAATATGATTGAATCACTCAATATGGTCTCAATATTTGTCAATAACAACAAACCAACAAGGTTTGATCCGAGGGAAAAAAGAAAATATAACAATAGCAGACTTCTATCGATTCAATATGTTAATGAAATTGAAATAAAATTCCCAAATCTTAAACACTGAATGTGCGGAAATCTAAATGCTCGAGTGACAAGAAAAATGTGACGAACATGTGGCACACCGAAGTCATTTCCGTAAACAAGTAGTCGAAGACGCAACGTTTTATGGCCAAAAACATTTCTGAAAAAAAATTAAAGTGAAACTTTATTTTCTAACCATAGTGCATGTATTATATATAATAAATGTGCGCGTCATTTGCGTGCCTAATAGAATGCAACATTTCACATTATATCTTAAACGTACATTTTAAACATAGAAAGTTTTGATTTATTAACTCTCATGATTAATATGAGTGAAATCAAGACTTTACAAACACTTACCCAATATAACTTTACTAATTGACAAAAAGTAATAGAAGCAAAATTGACCTAGCTAATTGGCCAAATGGTCACCCTTCAAAATTAAGCAGGACATTTAAAATTTAATATTTTGATAAAAAAACATCTGCGGCATAATGGGACTTGAATGTTCATGGGCCCAGGTTCCCTCAAACACAAATATACGCAAGGTTTTAAGAAATTTATGAAAGTAGGTGACTTTAATCTTTTATTGATTGAGGAATGTAAAGTTTTATTCTTTAGTCTTAACATCATTTGCCGACCAATGAAATCGCTCCAATTTTTAAAGAAGTGCCCTTCTTAATCGTGTAGCCATGCAAATTGTGTCAATTATTAAGGATTTGGAACTAAGTTTGCATGTGTAAACTGTGTGTAGTAGCCCCTTCTTATAAGGACGACTTGACAGTCAACATTTTTTCATACAATCAATGAACTACGGTAAACGCTTTTATGGCTGGTCGTTTTGTTTTTAAGTCATTAATACACCCAAATATTTAAGTTGTTTTTTACTATTATATATAAATCACAAATATTGGTGTTTGTCAATTTAACATTTATCAATAAATGCACACAGTTTGGCACATGAAGGGTAGAGTTTCACTTCTCAAGGTTACTTCGGTATAGTTCAAATGGCATTGTCCTTAACCCTCAGCAACAACATTATACAAAGAAGGGCTAAAAAAGCCGTTATCACATAAATTATTTACGTTAAATATTATTCAAAAAGTTGCAAAAAAAAAAGAATTCAGCGGTACACGATGTAAATAATGGGCACTCTGTCAACAAATTTACCTTTGCTATTTTTATATTGTCATGGTTCCTAACTCAACTCCACCCATTGTATTATAAGTTCCAAAAAGCATTACTTGTAAAGATATTACCGAATTTACATTTTCATGTTAATAAAGGGAGGTAATTATAATTTATTTTCTATAAAGCCTAATTCGAATTTTTCAATTAGAAATGAATGAATATATTTTAGTGATTACATATAATAAGGACAAATCTTTGCAGTACACATTTTACATAGTCTTCGATGTATAAAACTTGTTAAGAAGCATAATTTTATGCTTATATAAACTTTCACTTAATTGTGGTAACAAGCTCAATAGGTAGAGCGCTAGACTCAAGATAGGCCCGGGTTCGATTCCCGGACAGCGCAGGCCACTTTCGTTGTTATTGGTTATGAAAGTCTTTCTACGGTCATTTGCACTGTACATCTGCTCTGCTCTAGCTAGACAGAAGTTTCAGTTCCTTGCGAAAGTGAAAGCAACTAGTACTGGTAAACTGTTTGACAGCCTGGCGTTGATCGAACTGTGGTCTGGTGAATTCAATGTGGCTTATTGCCGTGATCCGAAGTGAAATCTACCAACAACACCACCACTATGGTAACAACCTAAATTACAACATACATGATCTTTAAGAATTATAAAACAGCGTTGAATACTTACATTTCAACTTTATTACTGAAATGGATCGGCTTTTCTGAAAGGTAAAATCAACCTGAAGTTTGTCATTTAGTTGACCCATGAACATCAAAAAGCGTAAAAACTATGTAAGATAGTTAAAGTTAGTATAAGTATGCAAAACCAGGCAAATTTCAACAAATAAACAAAACGATAAAGTAAAACGTAAAGTTATACGTATTGATTTACATGTATATCTTTTTATCAGACCAAGCATTTATAATTACCTTGCTCGACGTTTTAAGAATAAGACGAGTACAAAAATGACAGCTACCACCAAGATAGCACCGATTGATATCCCTCCGATCTCTCCGACATTAAGTTTCCCTTTCCTATTAGTTATAACGTTTGTTGAAGTACTTCTAGTTTCTGTAGTTGGGAGAAGTGTTGATTGTGTACTAGTAGGTATTGTGCTATTATGTTCATTACAAGCATTGCCATGCCAACCTGGATCACAGTATCCTATGGAACACTCACCGTCGGTATTATTACATGATGTGTTGTTGAAACAATGACACTCATGTTCACAATCTGAACCAAATTTCCTTAACGGACATTCTACAATAAATAAATTGTTTCGGTTAAAATCTGTACAAAAGAAGAAAAGTTTAAGATGACCAAAAACGGGCAGCGACAATATATAAATTTTATACGGGTTAAGCCCGCTTTTGGGCTGAACACGAATAAAGGATACAGTCTATCCAGTTACATATGTGTTTGACAATCTCTTGTACTTATATGACATTTCTTACTGTGGGCACGTTTCTACTGTCGAGAACACAACTGTCCAAAACATTGTACCTTATAATTTATGCACATAAAATTGGAAGGAAATTATCAAGGAAACCAAAAAGAAATATTCTAGATTACATGTTTGACAATTTATTGTTTCCAGATTTCAGTAGTTAACTTACACTCGAGTCTTTTATTTATTTGTGAATTGTAGTTGTGAAAGAGAAGTGAATAAGATGTTTCTGACTGCCTTTGTATCGCTAACCTGACAATTAAGGCTCTAAATGACAAGGAACAAGTATGAATGAAACCATTTAAAAGGTTAATTTAGGTTAACTGATGACACAGTTAAAATCTGCATCTGATATAGTTCAAACTAAAAATCGTCACTGGTTTCTATGGAAAGTCATGGTTGGTATGGATGTAAGACTTGCTGTGAAAAGTCAATGGTTTATATTTCATGTTAGATATGTTAGTGTTAACCTGTATGTCTCTTTTTAATATTTACTTTATCTATATAAGGAAGGCGAATGACTCCACGAAAATGTTCCGATTTAACCCTTAACCCTGTGCAATAGTTTGAACAAACTTGGTTCATAGCTACTATGTGTATTTACTGCCAAATATCTAAGCTTGACACAATGCGCTTTAGGAAAATAAGATTTATTTAATATTGCCGTTTTAAAATTCATTTAAAGCATTTTGACCTTCTTATTCATCAGATTTGAACCATTTTGAGCTTTGATGAAGAAGGGCATCTATGCAGCTTGTTAAATTTAACAATTTGGTTGAGGATAAGATGTTGTTAATGTCACACTGAAATGCTCTGGTGAGCTAAATGGAAAAACCTAAAGACTATAGTGCTTAGAAATTGCTGAATAGGACCCTATCTAAAGTCCCTTTTTAATGTGTATGTATGTGCGTATTTGTTGTGTGCGTGTTCGTGTGTATGTGGCTAAACTTGTATTATAAACTCTGCAATTTATCACAATTCAACATATTTTATACTTCTTACGTTCTAATTCTTTAGAATGAAGTCAGGTTTATAGATGATTTTGATAGGTATGTGTTTCAACAATGTTATTGCAACAATTTTTTTTATCAAAACATGAATTCGAATTAAAATAGATACATGTACAAGTAACGTGTAACGAATTCTTGTCGTTAAGAAATAAGTTAAACATAGAGTTAATGAACAGACATTAACATTCTTGTTTGAAAATTAAAAATTGTGTATGTAATTTTGCGTTTTTACCTTGACTACAGGAAACCCCAATCCAGCCCGGATCACACCTTCCCATAAAGCATTCCCCATTTGTACTGTTACATGATGATCTATTGAAACAGTGGCATTCGCTTTCACAATTCGGGCCAAATTTTCCTTGAGGACAACCTAGGCAAATTATTTAATCAAGACTTTGAACAACGGTTTTAATACGTAACCTAAGACAATACAATTTAAATTTGAAATATATATATAATAAAATATATTAGTATGTTTAGCTGTAAAATGAAAACGTTTATATCATTCGATTGTTCTTTAATCCGATTCAAAAGTCAAAATTTATCATCATATAAAAAGTTTGATTCCTAATACCTTGACTGCAAGAGCTTCCCTGCCAACCCGATTCACAGTCTCCTATAAAGCACGTGCCGTTCACATTGTTGCAAGATGTATTCCTTGCACAGTGACAATCTGTTTCACAATTTAGACCAAATGTTCTGTAAGGACACTCTAAAAAGAACAAAAAACATTGCATTTGTGAAAAATGCTAAGGCATTAATATTATAACACTAAATAACAGTGTAGGACAAGATTAATTTTTGTTTCTTTACAACTGAACTTTTTTGTTTCTATACAAATGAACTATGTTATAATGCAGTTGAGTCTAGGGAATTAGGTGGTCAAGCTCATATTTCAGCTTGTCAAATGAAAGTCAATGTGTTGATGTGTCTAATGTTCAGATACAATGGCCGTAGTGCACAATAATTGTTTCAAAATAAATATTTTCGCACTTGACAAAAATGAAGGTATTTACTTATTGCATAGCTGTATTAAACTTTGAAATACAGTAAGAGTCCCCCCCCCCATTTTCTTCTATTAAGCATTATATAGTTCTGAAAACATAAAAGAATATTTACGATTTGAAGTCATTATTACATAAAGTATTTCATAAATATCCCTGTAAAGCTTACATTTCTCTTGTAGGGCCAACTCGACACAAAAAACTATAATTTGAACAAGGGGGCATTGGCCCCAAAACTCTCACCTGAGGACCGACTTTTATTTGTGTGACAGCAGTTTATTACAAGAATTTGAACGATGTTGGTCACTAGAGCATACTTCATGCATGTTCAATGTATTTTAATTATACTTTATTCATTATCCTAATTTCATAGCTGTGTATCAAAAACAATAAATAAGGTCACTTAGTCAATATCTAGGTCATTTGATATCAAATTTCAGCTCTACACCTGCAATTGTGCATTTTGTCATAGCTGTACATAAAAAGCAAAAAGAAGGCACTTTATCATAATCTAGGTAAGCTGATACCAAAGTTAAATTTTACATTTATTATTGTGCACTTGGGCTGTGCATTAAATGAAAGCAAGTAAGTAACTCTTTTGAACTCTATGTCACATATTTAAGTTTTAAGTTCAATTTACATCTTTATCTGTGCACATGGACCAAATTTCATAGCTGTACATCGAAGGGCAAGTAAAAAGGTCACTTGTCAAAATCTAGGCCAGCTGATATTAATATTCAATTTTACATTACAAACTGTGCACATGGTTCAAATTTCATGGCTGACAATCAAATGACCAGAAGGTAGGACACTGTGTCCCCTTTGGCAGGGCATAATATTGATAAAATGGTTGAATTCAAACAATCTTGATACAGGTCCACCAGACAATGTTTTGTGTTAAATGTCTACGCTCCAGCTTTCTCCTACTCAGAAAACACTTTTAACAGTTTATGTTTTTACTATTGGTACAAAATGCAAATCTTGTCCCCGGGGATTTAATTTGAACAATCGTGGTAGAGGTATACTACACAATGTTACATACTAAATATCTTACCTCTAGCCTTTGTCAATTCAGAGAAGAAGATTTTTGAAATTTTTACTTTATACATATAAGGAAAACCTCTGACACCTGGGGCGGGTCCAAGTTTTACCCTAGGGGCAAAATTTGAACAACTACAATAGAAGACCAATAGATGATATCATATACCAAATATCAAAGCTCTATAATACTTATCCCTTCAGACAAGAAGATATTTTTAAGTTTTTACTTAATGTACATCAATAAAAAATCAATGACTCCTATGAAGGCCAATTTTATCACAAGGCCAACAATTTAGACAATCTTGGTAGCGGTCCACCTCACAATATTGTATGCCAAATATCTAACCCCTCTCCTTTGTCATTCAGAGAAGAAGATTTTTTTTGTTTTTACTTTATACATATAAGGAAAACCGATGACTGCCCGGGGCGGACCAATTTTGACAATAGGGGCAAAATTTGAACATCCTTTGTAGAAGACCTAAAAATGATGTTATATGCTAAATATCAAAACTAATCTTATAACTAATATCCAAGCATTGTACCTTCAAACAGGAGAATTCTTAAGTTTATACTTTATGTACATAGTGAAAATCAATGACCCCCGGGCGGAACTAATTTTGACTCAATGGCTATGACCCGCAAAATATCTATGCTCTAGGCCTTGTGGGTCTTTGCAAGAAGATTTTTTTTTAAGTCTTTAAATTCTCTTTTCTTCTAATCACACACACACGCACACAAACACACACACACACAACACTTACATATGAACCGCTATATGCCACCGCATCGCAGATGATGCGGTGACATTTAATCACGAGCACTTACTTATTCTATTATGCATAGAACTGCTGTTCACCGCCACTTTTGTTAGGTGGTTAACGTTTTATATATATGGTAAATAATTTCTTTGAAACTTTGTATAATGTTTCTAAGCCTTTCATTATTTTACTTTCCAATTGATAAAGGATTGGCCATTGTTTTACATGTGTCAAAAAAGACAGTATTTGTTTGATGTTTAAGTAAATTAAAATAATCTTAAAATGCATTTAAGTGTATTTTAAACAATCATCGGAAAGAATACCTAGACAAAAAAGTATTTTTTCATGTTTACTGAAAATGTATAATTACCTTGACTACAAGAATCACCTTGCCAGCCGATATCACATTTATTAGATGAACACACACCATTCACTTTATCACATGATGTATCATTGTAACAGTGGCATTCGTTTGAACAATTTTGTCCAAATGTTCGAGTAGGACACTCTATAATGATATAAAAACTTGTTTCTAAACGACAAAATGATGTGAAAGAATTTAAAAATAAACCTGCTTGTATTTACTAGGATTTTTAAGCTTTTAATAAAATGGATATAAATTTGTAATTTTTTCACATACCTTACCGCTGATAATGATAAGATAAGTAAAAGATTATTATCGTTGAAAAAAAATTGTATTTGAAAATTAAAAATAAAATTATAATAGCCTTCCAATTTTTAATTCTTTGCTTATTACTTTATTTCCTCAATTATCTATTGATCCTCGAGCTCTTTTTTCATAAACGTTATGTTTTGAAATATTACATGTAAGAAGACATTAAATCATTACTACAAGAACGTTGTAATGTTTCACTTATAGAAATACCTTGACTACAAGAACTGCCGTGCCAACCAGCATCACAAAAACCTATTGCACATGTACCGTTGATTGTGTTGCATGAGGATTCGTTGTAGCAGTGGCAATCCATTTTACAATTATCGCCGAATGTTCCGTTTGGACAGCCTTAAACAAGATGAATGAAACACTTAAACAGTGACGTCAACATCACAACTTTCATTTATAATTGTTTCGTTTTTGCTGTTATTATATTGTACGTTTTTACATAAGCATAAATTAAGAATTTTCAACTGTTTTAAACAATTCAGGAGACAGAAACTTGATTTACACAAATAAAGTTATATTTTTGAATCGATCAAAATGGTAAAAAAATAACTAGATTTATTCAGTTATCTATATATGCTATTCTCTATTTGTTAAATATTTTAGAATTGTCTTCCTTTTACCAATAAGACAGTATTTAATCTATTTTCAAATAAAGAAGATTCTTAAAATAATGCTTCTACATGACAATTAAACAGACATCAACAGATAAACCTTGACAGATCTTATAAACAAATCTAAATGACTGCTTTTATTGTATTGAAAATTCACAATTTACCTTGACTACAGGAATCACCCTGCCAACCGGGATCACAGCCGCTAGATGCACAAAGTCCACTGATTTTATCACATGAAGTTTCATTATAACAGTGACATTCATTTGAGCAATTTTGTCCAAATGTCCGGGCAGGACACTCTGTTTTAAAAATTAAAATGGTTCCATAAGGGAAACAAGAATATTTAAAACAGTTTAAATGCTTCATATATCAAATTTAGGTATTATGACTGTAGCAACTTACCATTGATAATTAGATAAATCAGAAAGACTTGTTGTACTACTATAATGTTAATAATTAAGTGTTTTCATTATGGCATTGTTATTGGACTGAAGACAGACTAAAGCCCAATAACCAAGCCATTATGAAAAACATTTAATTATTGACAATTTTATTAATTAACTACACATACTCTAAAAAAGGTTAAGTACTTAGTGAACAAAAAATAACTCATCTGAAATTCCGTTGTTGTTAGGTATATGAGATTCTTGTTTTAAAAATGTCTCTGAAACCTACCTTGCAGCAATTCAAAATGACGATTTTTTTCAATGAAAAAAAGCAGATTCATAATGGCCGAGATGGAGAGACAATCAAAATTTCCCAATCTCATAATAGCCAAGTTTTCTCATGTAGGCCGTACTCTTTGCATAATGGCCTTGTTTTATGTTCATAGTGTCTTGGTGAAATTCATATTAGCCTTACATTTGAAGTTAAAACGTGCCTAATATTAAGAAGTTTATTAATATGAAATGATAATGATCGTGTTATAACTTTTGTTATCAAACGTTATACGTATACATTAAATCATGTAACATTGGATAGGTCTACACTAGGCTTATTTTCATTAGTATTTCAATGTATTGATATAGAAAAATGTTTAATTTGGATATTCTTATAAAATGCTGCTATAAGTGATTTAGAATGATCATTAAACTGATGAATAATAAACATTTTGTTCTAGAACACTTTATATATCTGCTATATAAATATATGTTATATCGAATCACATATCTCACTTTTGCTAACAAATTTAATGTATAATTCTTTCGTGGTTTGTTCTTATGTCTAATACTTAGCATAAACCTAATTATGCATTGTATTATAGACCTTCCGTTATAATACCTAAAAGTTCATAATTGCGTATTACCTTGACTACAAGAACTACCTTGCCAACCCGCATCACAAATACCTATTGGACATGTTCCGTTGATGTTATTACACGAGGAGTCGTTGTAACAGTGGCATTCCATCTTACATTTATCACCAAACGTTCCGTGAGAGCACTCTTAAACAAGATAAACAAAACGCGAGAACAGTGACGTAAACAACACACCTGAGTAAACATATAAAAGTAGTACTTTATATCCATCAAAATTGTGTCAAATGCAGTATGCAAGTTAAGAAGTCTACATATTTTACTTTCTAAATGTTATAGATTTGATCATTGTTTTACATTTGTCATTAAGACAGTACTCGATTTATGTTTAAAGGTACATTATGGCTCGGACATAAATTAAATTCTCCCTCCAAAGAAAGGGCATGTATGTTTTTAACGTCTAAATAATGTTCTTAGAGTATTTACATGCTTATCACATTTGTTTAATTATTTGTATCATAAAAGTAAAAAAAATAAGTAAACAAAATAGTGTTTGACTTCCGTTAAAAATACCCTACTTGTATTTGTACAAATTACACTAAAGCAACGAAAGGAAAAGATGGCTTAGGTATTAGCCAATTATTTACATTTTATAGACTATAACGAGAAACCAAAAATAGTATAGAATTGAGAAATAAAAATAAATAATTGGTCTTAAAATAAAGAATATTCTAATTTAACTGATAGTGCACAATTACCTTGACTACAAGAATCACCATGCCAGCCGGGATCACAGCTACCAGATGCACACATACCACTGACTTTATCACATGATGTTTCATTGTAACAGTGACATTCATTTGAGCAATTTTGTCCAAATGTTCGCCCGGGACACTCTACAAAATTGATTCGATGTTTTAAAACAGTTTAAATGCTTACGTTTATTCTAGGTTATATAAAAGCCTGAAGTGAAAATGAATGTAAATTCTTGATTACAATTTCTGTTCACGTTCCAAATAATGATAACATCACTAAAGCGTTTTTCCCTATTAAACATAGAAGGACCGGAATTATGTGAAGATATACAAAAAATCACTGTTGACGACCTATCTTTAGCTTGATATCAGATACGGCATGTCGTGTTAGAATCGAAATCATATATTACAAGTAGTGAATTTATCGCTTAATAAAATCACTGTTTGTCGCTCGGATGAGTATATCACTTCTTAATTCGACTGAATAGGTCTACCAATGGCTCATTTTTCCTTTAGTATTTCAAATAAGGATAAAAAACAAAAGAAAATATCATTTAGATAACCTTCTAAAATGCTGCATGAATGAAAAGATAACGATTTGAGATATTTAGAATTACCATTTAACTGATGAATGATATTTTCGTTCTAGAACATTTTATTATCTAGCTGCTATAAAAATATAATTATGCTATACCGGATCATGTACCTCACACTTGCCAGTCATGTTCATGTAAAGTTCTTTCGTGGTTTGTTCAAATGTCTAGTAATAAACAATATCAGGGTAATTATGCATTGTTTTGTAGAACTTCCATTATAGACCAACTCACCTTAACAAAAAGGCTTTATGTTTCATCGATAGGAACATAATTGTGTATTACCTTGACTACAAGAACTACCATGCCATCCTGCATCACAAATACCTATTAGACATGTTCCGTTGATATTATTGCAGGAGGAGTCGTTGTAACAATGACATTCCATTTTACATTTATCCCCAAACGTTCCATGAGGGCACACTTAAACAAGATAAACAAAACGCGTAAACAGTGACGTCAAAGTCACACCTGAGTATACATTTAAACATAATACTTTATATCGATCAAAATTGTGTCAAATGCAGTATGCAAGTTTAGAAGTCTATATATTTTACTTTCTAAATGTTAAAGATTTGATCATTGTCTTATATTTGTTAATACTTGATTTATGCTTAAAAGCACATTATGGCTTGGACATACATTACATTTTCTCTCCCAAGAAAGGGCATGTATGTGTTTAACGTTTAAATAATGTTCTTAGAGTATTTACATGCTTATCACATTTGTTTAATTATTTGTATTATAAAAGTAAAAAAAAGAAGTAAACAAAGTAGTGTTTGACTTATGTTTAAAAGGCCCTACTTGTATTTGTACAAATGACACTAAAGCAACGAAAGGAAAAGATGACTTAGGTATTAGCCAATTATCTACATTTTATAAACTATAACGAGAAACCAAAAATAGTATAGAATTGAGAAATAAAAATAAATAAGTCTGGGGCATAATGGGTCTTAAAAGAAGAACATTTTTATAAAATACTTCTAGATGACTTCAAAATGACTACTTATTTAACTTAACTGAAAATGCACAATTACCTTGACTACAAGAATCACCCTGCCAGCCGGGATCACAACTACCTGATGCACACATGCCACTGACTTTATCACATGATGTTTCATTGTAACAGTGACATTCATTTGAGCAATTTTGTCCAAATGTTCGAGCAGGACACTCTACAAAAATGATTCGATGTTTTAAAACAGTTAAAATGCTTACGTTTATTCTAGGTCATTTAAAAGTTTGAAATGAAAATTGATGTACAATTTTAATTACAATTTTAATTAATATTTCCCAAACCACGATAACATCACTAAAAGTCATACTTGTATAGTTATATGCATGAAATATATACATTTGTAATTCGATATTGTGTTATATTCGAATTCAAGCTTTATATAAATGGGCATATATCTTCCTTTTATCCTAGGAAAAACAATTAAGCCATTTTTTCTTCGTATTTTTGAAAATTATCTCTCTTCCAAAAGTTCGTAAAGTATCAAATTTAAGTGTTATGACAACAGCTACTTACATGAATAAAAAGATAAGGATTTAAGATATTAAGAATAAGCATTTACCTGATGAATGATATTTTTGTTCTAGAACATTTTATTATCTAGCTTTTATAGAAATATATGATATTTCGGATCATGTACCTCACAATTGCCAGAAATATTCATGTAAAGGTCTTTCATGGTTTGTTCATATGTCTAGTAATAAACAATATCAAGGTAAGTATGCATTGTTTTGCAGACCTTCCATTATAGACCTCACCTCACCTCAACTCAACCACGAAAAGGTTTTATGTTTCACCTATATAGGAACATAATGGCGAATTACCTTGACTACAAGAACTACCATGCCAACCTGCAGCACAAATACCTATTGAACATGTTCCGTTGATATTATTGCACGAGGAGTTGTTGTAACAGTGACATTCCATTTCACAACTGTCACCAAACGTTCCATGAGGGCACGCTTAAACAAGATAAACAGGATGCGTCAACAGTGGCGTGAACATCATACTTTAATATGCATTTTAATATTAAAATAATACTTTAAAAACGATTAAGATGGTGCAAAAGGCAAGATGCAAATTAAGAAATCTTTACATGCCATACTGCACACTATTGCTTACTGATTTAACCACTGTTTTACATTTGAAAATAAGACATTTGATAAATAAAGCATGCTTCTTGATGTCAATAAAAAGACATGAAGGGGAATATCTCTATTGATCTTACAAACAAATTACAATAACTATATTTTAATTTTTCTGATAATGCACAGTTACCTTGACTACAAGAATCACCTTGCCAGCCGGGATCACATTTATTAGATGAACAAACTCCATTGACTTTATCACATAATGTATCATTGAAGCAGTGACATTCATTTGAACAATTTTGTCCAAATGTTCGAGTAGGACACTCTACAAAATATAAATGAATTCAAAATGAAAATAGATGTTGTAAAGCAGTTAAAAGTAAATAAGATATATCTGATGAAATATCCTAAATAAATCAACGAACAGTAATTATTAACTGAAACGGTTTTTTTTACATAGAATGTCTATGTAGTTTAAAACACATTATATTGTTCATTAACAGAACACATTTTTAAGTAAGTTGCACAATGATTTTATGCATGCCTCATCCGTTTTATACATATTCTGAAACATTTACTACATTCTAGGTATTTTGAAATTAATTATTTTATCACAAAATAAACACCCGATTTTACAATCAATTGGTAACAAACATACACCTTATATTATACACTTTAAACCATGCCTTCTTTTATTAAGCGATATAAAAACTTTTTATGAATATGCATTTAAATTTGTATGTTTAATATGTCTAAAACATCATTCGATGAAATAACATATTCAAAATCAAACTTAATATGAATCACCGTTCGTATAGTCTGAGACAAAATGTGACATAATTTCCGCGATGCTATTGCTAAATAAATTGTTTTTCAAACGATCATTTAGTATTTCATTTAAGCCTTATGCAGTTGGCTTTTCCCTTATCAATGATAAAATGATGATCATCATAGGCTATTGAACTAAAAAATTATTATAATTCTTTCATAAAACATTGTTATTCAATGTTATATCTTTTTGATAAAATTCCTTTAATTAATGGTTGTTTTTTTATTGTATTTGGTCGCATATCTATCGGCCATCCAGCTTAAACTATTTGCTTTTATATAAGTGATCTTTTAAAATTTCAGAAATTGTGGAATTGCTAGTACAAAATGGATATTTTATTTTCAGCTAATAGAAGAATAAATAGCATATTACCTAGACTACAAGAACTACCTTGCCAACCTGCTTCACAAATACCTATTGAACATGTACCGTTTATTGTATTGCACGAGGATTCGTTGAAACAGTGACATTCCGTTTTACAATTTTCACCAAACGTTCCGTGAGGACACGCTAAAACAAGATAGAACAGTCACATCAACAATCAAACATGCCAACGGTGACGTAAGCAGCACACTTTTCTCTTCAAAGAGTTTCGTTTTTTTTGTTTTTACATTATTCATTTTAGCATGTTAGTAGCAGATCAGAATGTGTAATGATTCAATTCAAAGTAAGATGACAGAACCATGCTATACTTATTGTTATGATTATGCTAAATGCATGAAGCGAATTCATAAAACGTTGCTTTCACGTATTAAAAGAATAATAGTTATTTTTTGTGCGACGGCAGATATTTAACAATGAATTGCTAGATTTGATGTGTTTCTCAATTTGTTTTACATACTTACATACATTGCAAGCTGATCCATCCCAACCAGGTAAACAATAAGGTGTCTGGCATTGTCCAGTCAATGAATCACATACTTTATAGTCCAAACAATGACATTTCTGAGAACACGATTTTCCAAAATGTCCAACATTACAGATTTTATCTGTAATAATTGATTTTGTTTATGAAAAAAGATAATGAGTGTATACTCGACAAATGATATTAATCTGGCAAATACTAGTCCAATTCATTAATTCATATGACTTAAACAAAAAGATATGTGACAAATTCGACTAAGTGTGTAGTTGTAAATGGAATAATTGTAGGAATGTCATGAATTGATTTGTACTTATGCATTCATACACAGTTGTATTTATATTTGACAACAAAATGTTTATGATGACAATTGTACGTAATATTATAATATTACCTTCTGTGTAAATGACAAACTCACAAATAGTGAGAATATTGCCGACAAGACTAATCATAAAGCTTTGTGCAGTAACTGGTTCAGGTAGAAAATGAACAGAATGCGTAGAATTTATGATTTCTTGTACTGTAAATAACAATTCGCCCGAGTCTACTGAGCAAACAGGCGTGCCACATGAATACACTTCAGCACCTTGTAACTGATTATTGTTTGCTGAAAATATTTGTTGTTCATTTTGAAAGAATACATATGTATATTGTTCAACTAAGATTGTATTTCCGCTTCTTTTAGCTCAAACAAAAACAAGACTATACCAAATTCGCATGAAATTGCAAGGTACGGGTACTATATGAATACATTTTATATAAAAGCTACAGTCTACAATGTCTCATGAAATGATAATCTGAATGCTATTGTCACAAGTAATGAAGACGATTACATAATAAACCATCCTCAAGTGGAAGTAAAATTAATAAATATAATAATGCACAACATGTTTTGAAACATTAAGTACAGAATTTTTTTAAAATATTTACAAGAGTTTTGAATAATTTGTGTTATATTTATTTCAGATAACAATATTTATAGCACTATTTTAAAATAAAAATATTTAAAACGTGACAAAGAAAAGACTTTCTTTGTTCGACACTACAAAGCATTCTTGTTATTGAAATATGCACTAATTTACTTTGAAATCATGCAATAACCAAACAATGAAATAATAGAACTTCACGACTTCATAGGTTTAGAAAAACAATTAAAATACATTTATTTATTTAGGATGACATTGGAGAAACTCGCTAATATGAATAGCATGGTTAAAACTTATTTATAGTTTTGACTTTATAAAACTGGAATGTATAAAATCATACATACTCAGATCGCCTCTTCCATATAATTCCACCACGTAAATCGTGTACTTGTCTCTTAGATCTACCTGCCACCATGATGGGGAAGGTGCAGCCTGTGTAACACTGCAGCAATAGCAATGGTCTACGTCATAATTATCTATTCCATCGATCGCATTGTATGAAGGGTTATCCATAAAAATGCTGGATTGATTTGTAATTGAAGTGTTTCGTATTACGCTTAGTAGGTCTATAGCTATAAATTTAAATGAACATGGCAGTTGACACGTATGTTAAGATACAAACTTCTCCCGGTGTCAATACCAGTGTGGCAATACCACGTGACATTGACGTCATTTTCGGCATCATTTCCAAGACAAATGTTGCTCGATTCTGAAAAGAAAATAGCCGTAAATATTTTATTTCTGTACCAATTTCTTTGGGATATGCACCAGTCTACGGGGAAAAATATAAGCTCTCCACAGAATATTGGATCTTCGTCACTTTATAAGACGTTTTATCAAACACTTTGCATAACCTTGGAAGTTGCTTGTATTAGAGCGGGCTTCAGTTGCAAGCTATTTCGTTTTCTGGCGTTATCTGGTCTACGTCATGATTAAAAAGTCAGGTTTACATCAACCGGGAGTACGCAAGGCAAAACTCTACCTAAATGTGTTCATATTTTTATTATGAATGACATAAATCTTAAATTTTTCTTCAATTGTCAATTCTGGCACCAGTTCCAAGTCGAAAAACAAGGACTACAGTTTAAAGCAGATTTTAGAATTCGTTGCAAATGCAAAGCAACATGCCTACCGTTCTCTTTCTATAATTACGTTAACCATGAAAAACATTTTATTTAATATACGATTTACATAAACACAAAGGAATATTTAAATGATTTTTACTCGCTGCGCTATAAGTGATTTTAAAAGTCGTAAAATTGTTGTCTGCATTTGTAAAGAAATTGATTTGCTCTTTAATCATTGTTCTTTCACGGTAATGATTATGAAAAATCTATTTATGTCATGTAGTAATACTAAACGTGGAATTGAAAACAGAAACCCTAAATATCGCCCAAAACGGCAAAATTGAAAATGTTGCAGGCTCGGATTGACTTAGCTAGCCTGTCCAATGAACGTGCACATTCAGGATCACTTCGATTTGTATGCTGTGAAAAGGGTTACGCCTCAACGCGGCAATTTTAAAGTCAAAGGTTATTCTTTTGTAAAGAGTTATTTATACGTATAACCATATATATATAAAGAACCTGTAGCAATGTTTTAGTATGATAGATTCAGCTTTTTAACACAGTGGCACTCGTTGATAAAAAATATTTTTACATCCTGTTTTCATACCCACGGTAACCGTTTTTCGTGAACTGGATATAACTTCGTTCACTTAAGAACACTATTAAACACACTATTAAACACTATCTATTTTATAATTGCATTTATTTCTGTTGATAAACTGCATATCTGACAAATTTAGTTAATTATATCAGTCAACTCAGCTTTATCAGAGAGCTCACCAATATACATTGTAAAGAGAGGAAGGGAACGGAATATTTATGGTTTGAACACATTTAAATCGAGTAGAACTTTTTAACAATAATGTCTCTTTCAACTGAATAAAAACGATAGGGCTATTTGGGACTATTTCTTATCGATGTGGTCATTGGCTGTAAATGCATGGATTATTGCACGCGGCATGACCTGCAGATGTCCTCAACAGGATTTTTGTAGCATTTTAAGATTTAAAAAAGGACCACACATTAAAATCTAAAACATGATAAACATGACGCATATACTAAATAAGTGAATTATCTGATATGTAAATAAAGAAGTAAGTCATTTGACAGTTGAAGGATAAAAATTGAATATACTCTTAAAATGTAGTCGTAATTTTACTAAGCTTATGTTAGCTATCAATTATTCAATGGATGCATCAGTGGCATATGGACCCCAGTCAAAGATCTTGCCGATGTTGCTATTACAGATGTTAATGAAAATATTTATATAATTATTGAAAATCATTGTTATTTCCGTCTTTTTGAATGTTTTGTTACAAGAAATTTGACTGTGATCGATGGCTGTTAGTTTGTAAAATCATTTATCTGTTTACTATTTTCTACTTTGTTTACTCCACATGGCGTCCATTCTCGTTCTTATTCATGGCTATTTTGGGTCTTTTTTTATAAATAGAGAATCACAAGTAATGCAACTAAGTAACAATACTATCAGATTTACACGGCAAAGTTCCAAGTTCAAATTGTGATTTCGTTTATCAAACTCTAGAAATTTATTATACAACAATTCCAGAAAAAATATATACCTTTTAAAAGTCTCTCTTTTGAAGACAGAAGAACCTATTCGTCACATTCACGAGTGTCAGTGTTTGTCAGTTACTCTTTACAAAAATAAACTGAAAAAATACCTTTAGCTTTACAACACTCGCGTTAAAGTGTAACCCTTTCCATAGCATACAAAAGTGTTTTTTTTTTATTTTAACTCTTTCTCTCACTGAGAGCACATATATTTCTTATCAATTTCGCCATTGTGAAATAGAATAAACACATTTTACTAACATAGGATATTTATGAGCAATACTTTAAACATCTTCAAAACGAAACCAAAGTATTATTTTCTGACAGGACTAAATCTACGTGATTTGACGTGCACTATTGCGATACCAGTAAGTGTTATTGCTTTAAGGAACAATCAGTTTTTTCACAATCTCTCTGTGAAAGATCAACAATGAAAACCTAAATTGTAGAAAGAGAACGGAAGGCATGTTGCTTTGCATTTGCAACGGATTCTAAAATCTGCTTTAAACTGTAGTCCTTTTTTCGACTTGGAACTGGTGCCAGAATTGACAATTAAAGAAAAATTTAAGATTTATGTCATTCATAATAAGAATATGAACACATTTAGGTAGAGTTTTGTCTTGCGTACTCCCGGTTGATGTAAACCTGACATTTTTTATCATGACGTAGACCAGATAACGCCAGAAAACGAAATAGCTTGCAACTGAAGCCCGCTCTAATACAAGCAACTTCCAAGGTTAAGCAAAGTGTTTGATAAAACGGCTTATAAACTGACGAAGATCCAATATTCTGTGGAGAGCTTATATTTTTCCCCGTAGACTGGTGCATATCCCAAAGAAATTGGTACAGAAATAAAATATTTACGGCTATTTTCTTTTCCGAATCGAGCAACATTTGTCTTGGAAATGATGCCGAAAATGACGTCAATGTCACGTGGTATTGTCACACTGAATACATTAAACAATTATTTATGAAAAATGATATTTAAAGGTATAAAATGTATTTTCGTTTCAGATTTTAAACAATAACTGCGTTTACGATTTGCTTGCTCGTCATTCAATGTTAGTAGGCAAGCTACAGATTAGATATTATAGCCGTTTAATAATGTTACAAGTTAAAACACGAGGCTATCTGATATGTATGAGGGGGCGTAGCCCCCGAGTATTAATCAGATTGCCGAGTGTTTTGATGTTCTTTCTCTTTTGTATCATAGTCAAACATAAAAACACGTTCCCTGTTGTCACAATATGAAACCCCAGAAAAAAGAAACCAATGAACGAGCAACTGAATATGATATTTCTATTGTTTCCCCTTTCTCTGTCGTCACAATAAGTTAACCCCTACAGAAATAAGCTAATGAATGGACATGCTCTAGAGTGCGGGTAACTAATACCTGCACTCCAGTTAACGCACTGTGCATGTATATGTATATGATTTAACTCTGACACATTTTCAACATAAAGGTCCCCAAACTATGATACAAGTATGTTTATTAAGTATTGTAGATTTCTTTTTTTATATAGATATTAGGGTAAAAGTTCAAAAAATTCATCGTTTAAGTATTATAGGAGTTTTTCTTCCCTTGTATTACATTCAATTTTATGGCGCCACGAATTTATAACACCCAATAAGTTGCGAGTTACCCATTTAACCAAAGTGGGTGGAGCGAATTAGAGTAAGTTTAAAAAATGTAAATGCTTAAAATCTTTGAATGTTTTTGAAACTGCAGGAATGTGTATAATAAAACTAAAATGATATCAGAGTCTTTGAATAGACAGACTGGTGTTTTTTAAAAGTTTTTAATGAAATCAAAAAGCGTACGATCTGTGTCTTTGTTAAAATTTGATCTTAACGGCTCCGCATTTAGAAATATCTTTAAGTGTACGAATCAAAATGTTTGTATCTTTTTATTTATCTTATATACTTTTCGCATAATTTTCCCAAGTTACGGTAAAGTATTCATCAAAACTGCTTTTCATTATAATCTTGATATACTCACTATCTTGAACCATCTTTATCTCGCATATTGTCAACACACTTACAGATGATCGTCGTATCATCAGATATCTAAATAGGTATGAACTTGATGCTTGAAGCTCATACAAGTGACTGTCATTTTTCGTACTACCATTATATATTAACGTTCCATTTATTGTTGTCAATGTTGTCGTGTTGCTTACAAATACTGAAATGTTCTGATACTCATCCGTGTGTCCTAAAACAAATGACGTGAAAGTAACACGTTATAAGCTTTACCTCAAGAAAAACGTAGACCTTATTACAGATGTGAAGAACTGACTAAGATATTCAAATTTAAATGTAAGGACTCATTTAGGATTAAGAGAGCTATTCCATAGCTTTAATGTGTTGCTGTAAAATATTTTAAAAACCAGACAGGTTTAAAGTATCAATAATTCAACCCGAAAAATGTAAGCTGTTAACTATATGTTGATTTTAAAATGAACACGTGTTTTAATAAACAAGATATAAAATATCTGAGTAAGTATGGAATATTGTTCTAGTATCGAGCGAAAAGTTATGAAAATATGAAACGCATACCTTTGTCAAATCGTCCAAATATCCGAATGACACTGACTCTATAAATCCTGCCCAAGTCTAATTGTAGCCATGGTGGTTCAGTGCCTGATGTCGAAGCACAGCACCTGCAAGTGTTTGGGTCTTCAAGATAGACATTGTCTATAGCATTGTAATTATCCCAGGATGTTTCTGGAACATTATAATTGCTGGTACTCGACAATCGTACCGACACTTGCGACTTTATTCTTTGAACTAGGTTGTCTACCGGCACTGGGATAGATAATGATAAACATGATTAATATTATTATTCAGAAAAACATTTTAAAATATTTATTGAAAATATCAATACTTAATTGTTGTTGATGAAAACTATCCCAGTCAGATGAAGCTAGCAGTTCTCAATTATCAAAATAATAATAGATTATCGCTTAATAATTTAGAAAAAATTAATTTAGTTGTCATAGAAATTCGTATTTGTACTAATCGATGTTCCGGACATATATTGTCCGATATTCTTTTTAAAAGCTAAAAATTCTTCACTGTATTAGGTTCGAATATGTAAAATATTAAAACAAGACTCAACAAAAAAGGTTGGATTCAAGGAACGCATTAACGTTTACTTACTTGTTTTCATCGTCTGTATGTCATGAAAATGTAGAAGTAACGACAGGATTAGAACATAAATCATCCTTGAAAGCATTTGCTGCATCAGAACCTGACAAATGCAACAAACACATATTTTTGTGATTTCTTACTTCATTTGCACAATAACAAATAACCTCTGAACATAGTGTTCTTAGTCGAGTGTTTTCGTTATCTTTTTTTTTTTTCATTTACTGGATATTCACATTTGTCCTATTAGCATTGGGTTTTTATCGGGATATTGGAATGCAATTGATCGTTAAGATATGGAGGGTCAAGTGCCTAATGCTTAAAACATGGTACAACACTCGTTATTGAGGTATATTGTAACGCTTTGTTTAAATGTAAACGACCATACATCATAGTTTAAAACTGGAGTACTAACACATTTTTTAAATCATTAATTTTTGGCATACCTTTTGTTAAGTTAACACATGTCAGCTGGTTTCTACAAAACTGCTGCAGGGAATAGATTACAACTTCACATAATTGATAATTTAAACTATTAAAAATTTTCCCCGCAGGAAACCGTTTTAACTTGCTATCACTTGAAACGGGGTTGTATTTAAAATATCACGTGCAAATTAGAGTAGATAATAAAATAGATAAAAACGATATTGAAATGTGCATCCATTTTGAACTAAATCACTAAATTACACAAACATAATTGATCCAATTACAATGTATTTATACAGCTGGCTTTAATTCGACTGACGTGCGTGTTATCTAATCGCAAAAGAGAGCCCAATGCTGCAGCACTTGCAGTTTTTCCAAAGTTAAATTAGGTAATCAAGGGAGACTTGCTCATTATGCTGACAAACAAACAGGTAATGTGACATAAGTGACATGATAACTTATTAAAGGTAGGTCAATCGGCTAAACGGTAATCATGGTCAAAGTTGAATCCAAAACTACAAAGTACAAGTTGATAGTTTTCTACATTAAGTGGCCCATTTTGTGATTATACATGTAAAGCCTGTTCATACCTGAAAATTTGAAAATGTTACAGACTCGATAAAATTGAGCCTGTTCATTGACAGCAGTGGTAAATGCAAGCTTCCGTCCACACCTCCGATAGCGTCTTTGATGAGCACATTTCATCAACAATGCACAAAAGAAGACCGTTATGTTCTATCATAACGTTCAACGTACATGACTAACCTTGACATTTGAACTTGATACATAATCCTTTGCAAGACATATCATCGTTATGTCTAATACGTTATGCCAAGTTATTTCCAAATCAATATAGGAATGACAGAGTTGTTGACCGGACAAACCGTCAATAGATTATCAAAATCACATCATGCATTTAAAGTACGGGTGTGATTAGATATTCGAGCTTCCTGAGGCATGGTTTTTGCATGCAACACTTAGTCAATATACTTATGCCAGCTTATTGTAAATACCATAAATGAATGACGAATATCAGTGCGGTAAATAAATTCATATCATTTAAGAAAATGATATAATAGCGTTGGTTCTACAAGCGTAACCTAGATGTTTGAGCCAGCGACCTGATTTTTTCGCACGATACCTAATCATGTAATTGTCCACGTCTTTGCTAAGGCATTTCCTAAAATCATTCAGGAGTGAAATAATTATTATCCGAAAAATACGAACGTCAGAGCACTGTTTGTAAATGCTTTTCTCTGAGTAAAACATTTAACTCAAGGATGAAAATAGTATATCATTAAACAATGCAAATGACAAAGATATAGACTATGCTCAGAGTCGGGACAATGGGATAAAAGAAAAAGAAATGACAAGACGGACATACAGAAGTATGCAGCAAACACTTTATAGAGGGAACAATGGAACGTAGGAACTCGGAATTATTCTATGTCAACAAGGCAAACTGAAGGCGTAACCAGTTTTAAATCCTATTAGCATTTACTTGAATTGCAAAGAGATTCACGAGACACATATATTTTCAAATATATAAGGTATATGCCATGTAGTATCAGGAAGAAAATATAAGTAAAATAATTGACCCCTGGACGAAGCCATGGCACTCATCGTTCATTCCAGCGTTTCTTATATGTTTGTTCCTCAAGTATACAATCAAGAAACTATTGACATAATCATTAATACAACTGTATATATGAACTTTCAATGTAAAATTTGATATAAAACCATTTGAAAAGGCATCATTACTGACACCGATATGTAGAAAATATTGACATTATATTTAGTGTTGTTATTTTATATTTTACAAACAGCAGTTGCATTTATAACAACAGTCGATGTTTTCATATATGAATGTTTTCACTTTACATGTTAAAGCTTCTTGTTTTTTTTACAAAAACATAAAATCGTAGATCGAAAGATAATAACGAAACTATTATTTTAAAAATACGTAGTACTATAACAAGGCACATATATGCATAGACATTGAAAGGCTTTATTGCTTACTTGACAAACAAACGAACTTCAATATCCAAAATCAAACGCTTTAATGTAATATCCGACCATCAAACCGAAGCGTTTATCTCTCGCGCAAATACTTACACATATCATAATGATAAACGTTTCTCTGAAAGGTAGATTAGCAAGTCGAAATATGTGCATAATATAGGCCGAATTGTGCAATCTAATTTCTACTGTCCACAAAACGGGGTCAAAATGAGATTGCAAAATTTATAACTTTACAGCGCCTGGCTATCATTATCTAAAATATAAGAAACAAGTTAAATACTGATGCTGCACATCAAAGAAGCCGCTAAATAATGTTACCAGTACAAAATCAATTGTTCTATACTACAGTTGAATATCCGAAACACAAATAAATTGTTCTTTGTGTTCTTTGTATGTGCTCGTTGTTTAATAACAAAGGTTGCAAATTTTTGTGAAAAAATAGAACCGAATGCATAAACTCACAAAGTAATGCCATGTCTGAAATTCTGAAATGTTTGTCTGTTGCGAAAAAGATTGAAAGGTCTGGTCAAACAAACAAAAAATGGAAAACAAGTAAAAATGAAATAATTGGTATATTTAAAATAAATTCAATACAAAGAAAGAGATAAAAAATATCTCCGTTGCGCCGAGAAAAAGTTCACTTGAATATTGGTGCAAATTGCATAATCGAACTGTTCCGTTTATTTACAAAAAGCAAAAATGTGTTTAAAGGTTATAAAATAAATTGTTAGATATAATCAATTCTTAGGTACGAATTGTTTTCTTAAAATTTATAAAGATATAACTACTTGATTAAACACAAGATTGCATGTTTGCCTTGAATTTAGGTATAAATCCACTAAATGTAATAAAACATCTAGGCAAAGGAGAACAATCGTCACAGAATCCTTCAAAATAACCTTTTGCAAATACTTGTGAGATGCATTTTAAAACAAATGTACGTTTTCACTCCTTTAATCTTTTTTATTACTTGAATGTTAATTATGTTCATGAATCAGCATACGTTTTGCCTGTCATACCCCTTGTTCCCTGTCCGAATTTGCTTCACGTCATTAGAGTATAGACTGGCCCATTTACACGTTATTTATCAGGTAAATAAAATAAGAAATGATAAAAAGAAAATGATATTCAAAAATGGCACTATCATTTCAGTTAAACGTGTACTATAATTCATTTAAGATCGGTTTCATGCTGCACATGAGAAAAGCTGTTTTTTAGAGAATTTGAAAACTAAAATAATATCTATATTGACTGACAAGAAAAACGTTAAAAACAAATTTACTTTTTATGTACAGATATTTATTAACATGTTTCGAGAAAAGAGTGGTATTATGATTTGTTTACATTTCATTCTTCCTTTTCATGAGAAGGAAGAACTATGTTTGATGAAACTCAATGATACTCGATGATATTAAACTTTACCAAAAATATTTAAGCATTTGGAATGTATATGGAGCGCGCCATTTGATCTATGAATAGCGCCATTTTGATATCAGGAAGTTGTTATGTTAGTTAAGAGGTTAACACAGTTACAAGCAGCCGACGACAGAAAACAGTAAGTATAATTGTGATTAAACACAAAAGAACAAAGTTAAGAACATGACAAATATGTTATTAGTCAACACTCACTGTATCTGAATTCTTTCGATTAAACTATTCTTATTCTCGGAATCAATTCTTCAGTTGAGTGGAAACACAGAATTAGAAGAGCAGTTTCGTGGTACAAGTATAGCGGCTTCCGAAGAAGTTTTACAGGACTCCTTGCTGAGAATAAGAAATTGCAGCAATAACAACGGATGATAACAAAATGCTTTCTTAAAATGTATGGCGCCCAGTGTATCATATATTATTCTTCCTTTTCATGAGAAGGAATAACTATATAATCATAGTTTCCGTCGCCATTTTTAATATCGCTTTATTAGTTCTTGTTTGATTCTGACACGGAATCGTTCGATTAAGAATTGTTTCGGACACGTGACTTTCTAGTTCTACGATCAACAAATCGCCTATTTAACATTTTATTAACATTTTATGATCTATTCTATGGTTAAACTGACCGGTCAGTTATAGCCTGTTTCAAGTCAAAGGAAGCTACATTTACTTGATACTGCCTAACAATCGTTATCGAATATGTCTAGCAGGCAACGGACTTTGAATTAATAGAATGAAGAAAGCGAGCCTTAGTGAACGACCATGAGTTCTTCCTTGTTGAACATTTTTCAGAATTCATTAATTAGTTAGGACACTCATTATCACAAGTCGGCATTACGTAAGTACATGTCTTTCAATCTATCATCAGCAGCTTTTTTCCCGCGATTTTGTTTCGGTTTTGTATGCTAACATTACTAAGCTGTTATGGATACATCAGGGTACTATAAAAGACTCTGGACACATGTTTTTTTCAGCTTCTATACCCGACTCCTGTTTATAATTATATTCATAAATTAAGTGTTGCCAAAGAAAAAAGTTTTGTAAGCTTAACCTGTAATAACCTAGGTTTCTCTTATAAAAGATAAATATGAATGTATTTTTCCTTCGCATTATCAAGATAGATAAATGAATGTTTATGTGATACTGCTAGCTGTTTGACCCTCACTCAACTGAGTCTCTATTCCATACTGTTAACATGCAAAGCATCAAAGCGCGTCCTATCAAGAAACGCAGCAAGTGACTATGAACTAGTAGGCATCTGATGACCAGATATCTTCTCTTTCAATAGTTAACTGAATTTTACCAGAAGTGTATATCATGGGGTACTGGGCGGACGAAAGAAATTGTTCATCATGCACTTTGGTAAGCTTGTTATAGATTAGAATATTAAATGTATTTTCTTTGTAACATACAAAACAGTAGTCAAAATGAACAAAGTCTGTTTTTTATTATTATAAATGTAGCAAATATACAAACAATATATAAAAATAGTAACAAAAGTGACCAATATGGTAATATTATATGCAATTTTTCATGTCAAATTAAAACCATGGTTTCTATTAATACACAGTAGTTATAGTTCAAGTCCAACATAAATACTTGACACAGAACACACTCTGGAATGAAAAATTTTAGATGAATTTCAAAAAGGCAAAATTCAGGATCATTTTGGTCTTGACATAAGCGTTAACAAAAATAATGGTACATTAAAATTAAATCAATATAATGGAAGATTGTTACATGAATTTTAGACAGGTATAATGAAATTCACAAACGTCATGTTCATGCGAGTCAAAGATGTAAAAGCTACTTGACATTAGTGATAAATAAAGAGCTATTGTTAATTGATTTATTGGGAGATCAATCTACTGTTTTGTTCAATTGCTTCAAAATCCTCATCTGACCCACCAGTGTCTCTACATTCCTATTAATAGACCTATAACACCTCATGTTAAAACTGTAGACGAAAGTTTCTGTTGTTAAAGTTTTACAGTATACAGCAAATCATCATTTCATTCAAACCACCATAAAATCGATTGCCTTGAAACAAAAAATAATTAACAGCAAAAATTCAGGAAATTAGGGTCGATTTAAATATTCACGGTAAAACAAATGTAAGAAGTGCAATCGGGGGTTAAAAAAGAAAGGAGCTTTTAATTTACCGGAATGAAACCTACTGAAATGACAATTTCAAAATGACGATACTATGATAAAACAATTCGTAAACAATGGCCTAAGTTTATACTTAAAATATTTGTTTGGATACATTTATAAGAGTGCAATTTATTGTTGAATATGTTTGCATTTCATTTCCTGCAAATTTCTCCAGTTGATTATTTATTACCATAAAGCGACACGAATGACCGTTTCGTTTTTAAAAATCAAATAAAAGACTACCCTTTCACCAATCGGATCGTCTTCGGTTACAACTGACGGAAAGGGCCGATTGCCCTTTCACAAAATCTGAATGCATTCCAAAAAGGACGTCGCGCTTCTGCGTGGACGTCAACAATTCCAAATAGTTTATTTCAGGCGTGTGAAAATCTCTTAAAAATAATAACGTCAGAAAAAGATTATGTCTTTTCATGAAATAAAATGAAATTGCGCAGCATCTCTCACTATTTGTTACATCGGTAAAGTACTAAGAAGCGGTTTTCTGTTCTCATAAAAACGGTGTAAAAAGATTCAAAGAATACGTAGTTTTCCTTTCACTGAAAAGAAAAAAAAAGATAATTTATAAACTTTGCATTAAATGTTAGAATCTTATGTTCATTAGCATTTTGCATTTTGCTAGCAATTGGAGTACTTAATTTTAATCCATAAATAAATGACACATTTCTAAATATGTTCATTTGTGAATGAACAATTTGATTTTATTAGTCTCGTAAATGACTCGTCATACGCTTTACAATTGTGCCCTGACGTTTTTCTGAAATAAGTTTTAAACAAAACACATTTGATACCTATTGGAACATTTTTTTCTGTCAAGGTCACTTAAATGAACCAAACCGTATGTTAATTTGGAATCAGGTTATTTTAACTCTTCTCGTGTGTAATAGTTACCGTTTTAATAGTATTAACATACCAAAGTGGCAACTGTACAATTATTTTTTTAAATTATTCTTACATCACATCATCTATCTCTTTTGAAATATCTGTTCTGTTTTGACATTAACTTTATGTTTTGTTGATATTTTTCACAGCTTACTATTGTCCGTAATTTATTTTCATAATTTTGCGACTTACAGTTTCATTGGTTGCAAATATTGGCAAAAAAGAGCGGTTTCAATAAAGCTTTGCTGAAAACTAAACCGAAACATTTAACTACTTGTCGAACACTTTTCTTGCCATCAGAACTTTTGTTCAACGTTAATTTTAATTTTATTATGAAAAATGAGTATATGAAATTGTTTTCATGAATAAACATGTACAATTTCTTTTACAATTTAAAACATTTTTTTTAACTTTTAAGCTCTAACTAAATAGTTCATGCCATAATTTCCCTAAATCATTTAGTAGGATGTTTTTTAATATAAAATGAAAATATAGCACTCAGACGTTGAATAACATACCTGTTTCATCCTGCCATTTTGTCGACTCTTTTATAAGGTATCCTAAACACACAAAAACAAGTTACAATCATAACAGAAGGTTATTAAAATAATACTGAACAGCATTGTAAGACATTATTTAGTTTTCAATTATATCCGATAATTATAATTGAGTATTATTCGTAATCAACGATAATTTTTTAAACAATCAATTTAATTTATACAAAATGATAAAAGAAGCATGCAAACAAACGAACAAACAGATAAACTTCTATTAGCTTTATAAGCCTTTGATCTGTTCAAACCTAAGGAGTTTTTTAACAAATTTTACATATTGCAAAACACAGCAGACTGTTAAATATTGATGACTATTCATGCAAAAATTGTGTTCTGTTAAATTCGGCATACTTAATCACAAATTATGTGCATATTGATAGAAAAAATGCTATATTAATAAACGTTTGTGTTTTATGTAGCTTGTTATTTTGGTATATTCGCTCTTCATGTTAATGCGAAGCTTGCATTTTTAGTGTTTTGTTAAAATGTTTAATATGATATTTATCTACACTTAATGAATGTAAAATTGCTTCAAAATATAGGTTGGTTCATTACTAATATACCACAGTGCTCCGACGATAACTATGACTAACTAGATTCATGAACTGATCATCTGTAGCGCAGCTGAAATCTAAGGCAACTCTGCAATGTCTTATTCAGTCTAACATACATTTTCAAATACACACGCGTGCACAACGATTGATACAATTATAGTGTCATTTTGATGTTATAGCCATAAAATAATGTTCTACAAAATGCTCACGAAGTGAAAATATAAAGCGTACTCTGAAGTTATAATTATTTGTCTTTTGTGGCAATAATTACTTTAACAACATAAATAATAGCTAGTAGTAACAGCTACTTTTATAAATTTCGTGTCGCAAAGAATATTATAAAATAAAATTGTCATTATTATAAGAAACATGTGCACTGTTAGTATATTCATTTCATGTCTTCATTTCAAAAGTGTGTAATAGTAATAACAGTTGATGCAACGGCAAATACGCACAAACAAAGAAAAGTAAGCACATGAAAGTAAGCACATGGCTATATTCTTAAATTGTACAGTTATATTTATCTATATGTAGATTAGCCGTGTCTTTTAGGACTTTTACATAATTCTCAATAAAACAACACATGATTGATTTGATCTAAATCTTTGACATTTGTTCATGCTCATTAACTGATGTTAATAACGATAACTTCGTGTTTTTCTTTTACATAATTGCACCGATTCATTGCCTTGTATGTACTTGTAGTATGCAAGTTATGTAATAGAAAGAGCACCGAAACACGAGGCTATCTGATTTGTACGAGGGGGCGTAGCCCCCGAGTTTAAATCAGATTGCCTAGTTTTGGTGTTCTTTCTCTTTTGTATCATAGTCAAACATAAAAACACGTTCTTAAGTCATTCTTACCTGAAAAATGATAAGCATCTAAAGATTAGCTTTACTTCTCTATCCACAATTGTAACCATAGTAATACCTATCTTGAGTCTAAATAATGAATCCAGTTAGCCATGTCATTTTTAGTACATTTAACATGAATTTTCAACAAAACCAAACATAATGCAATTTGATGTATTAATCTGTGCACAATTTAACTTTCGTTCTTCATACTACTCATTAAAATAAACAGATCTTATATTCTTTTTATCCGTCAAAAATTTGCAGTGGATTAGTACAAGTATTTGTCTTAAATGTACACTCTTATAAGTGTTGTGCCTATGACAAAATGGATTTTAACGTCCATTCAATCATAAGTTAAAGTTTAGATGGTAACATTGAGTTCACTCCCCTGAGTGCTATCTGGCTTTTAGATAATGAACATACTCGTAAAGATGATGTCAATGTGAAAATCAGCTGTACATTTACCCTTACTTAAGGTAATTACTTACTAACAAAATGGATTATAAGCCTTTTAAAAAAATGGAAATGTATGCATATTATTGTGTTTATCAAACAACAGATTGCAAATTTATATACACTTTTTACACTTGAACTTACGTTTCATATAACAAATCATCAGACAGTTTAAAAGTTGTCATTTGGCATGGCTAATTTTACAATTGAGTATCACAATTGTTGCAAGAATACACTTCCATAGTAACAATATGAATAAAACACCTACCCTTTGTTGTTTTTCCGTTTGAATACGCATACATATATAACAAAACAGACTACAACTATGGCACCACCTATGGTTATCCCAGCAACCTTTCCTGCATTTATTGTACCTTTACATAAGAAAAAATATCATTTTGCATTCAAGCTGACTTCTTTATATAAAAGTATCTTATTACAACAGCAAATGTCAAGTGCCCCGTGGCAGCTGTATAATGTTGACCGTACTTCACTACAGCGTTATTTTTTCTGGTCCTTCGGTATCATTGATTTCAGCACTTTTTAAGTGTTGAAAATAGAACACTTCATAGATCATGCCTTGCAAATTCATTATAACACACATTTATGTTTGAGTAAGACATGAAGAAGTAACCATCTTAATACATAATTTGTTGAACTGAATTTGAAAATTCGTTTTTCTCTTATTGTAGCATAGTAAATACACATGAACACTAGTGATCTCCTGTAGTATGTGTTTTTTTACAGTTGCCTACATAATGTAGAAGAATACAGACTCCCTTAAGAACGTCCTTACGGCTAAAATTGAAAGAAAAGGTGTTCAGAGTTTGTTCGATTGACCCTGTTCATGGATGGTACTGATAAATACAAGTTACAGGTAACTCCCTTTAGCACCGGCTGTAGCAGAGTTCAAGATTTAAACATAAAATGGAATGTAAACTTATATTAACAACTCACTGTTAAATAGCCAACGGATAGAGAAGTTACTCCAGTCCAGGAGAAGAACTGAATCTTGTACGTGCCAGGTATGAAACACATCGGATTTCACAGAGTAGTGCATTGTTATTTATTATACATATTTTCATACATTAACTTAAAGTAGCTAATTGTAAATTAAGGATTTGCATTGTGATAATTTTATGCTTAATCATTTAAAAATGCTTCTAAGAATGATGTGATTAATCAACGGACATAACCATCAATGTTTTTCTTTGGGAGATATTACCTTTAAAGTGTGTGTTTGATCATAAACATACCTATCATTGCTTTAAAAATAAAGATAAGAGGAAAACAGAATCCCTAAAAACGTTCAAAACGGCAAAATTGAAAATGATGCAGGCATTCAATAAAAAGCAAGTCCATTTCGAGAGTTCCGGGTTCAAGTCTGTTCAGACGGCATTTTTTAAGTTTTGAACCAGAAAAAATCATACTATGACTTTTGATTTCAAGTGTGGCCTTGACCTTTTCGATAATGGACACGACCAAAAATGCATTCTTTTAACATTTCCCCTCCCATTTTAAATTTTACCGTGACATGTTAAAAAAACCCTTTCATGGCTGGATTGTTAACCAGACAAGACAATCTATGACCTTTTTATGTACATATTACATCCGAGACAAACGTGATATAACAAACCTGAGGCTTGAGGCATTATGTTTAAATATTTCAGCAAGATCACTTTAATATATTTCCATGAATGACAACGCAGTTGGACGGACATATACAGAAAGACTGACTAACAATTCATGAACAAAATGCCTCCCTTCGGAAATAATACAAATCTAATATAAACAATGATATATCTCCCATATGTTTAAGAACAAAAGGTTCAGTTTCTATAAAACATGTTTCAGTCAAATTATTCTTTAAACTTTCGAAAAGTAATTTAAAGTGACATGTCTTCAGCAAGATCACTTTAATATATTTCCATCAATGACAACGCATTCGGACGGACATAAAACGATAAACAGAAAGACTGACTAACAATTCATGAACAAAATGCCTCCCTCCGGAAATAATACAAATTTAATATAAACAATGATATACCTCCCTTATGTTTTAAGAACAAACGGTTCAGTTTCTATAAAACATGTTTCAGTCAAATTATTCTTTAAACTTTCGACAAAGTAATTTAAAGTGACATGTCTTCAGCAAGATCACTTTAATATATTTCCATCAATGACAACGCAGTCGGACGGACATAAAACGATATACAGAAAGACTGACTAACAATTCATGAACAAAATGCCTCCCTCCGGAAATAATACAAATTTAATATAAACAATGATATATCTCCCTTATGTTTTAAGAACAAACGGTTCAGTTTCTATAAAACATGTTTCAGTCAAATTATTCTTTAAATTTTCGACAAAGTAATTTAAAGTGACATGTCTCCAGTTCATGAGTACAATCAATAATCCTTGTGACTAACATACTATTCTATAAACTGAATGTATCACTAAATTGATATAAACAAAGTTGGCAGTCTTTTTACATTTTAGGTAGTTGTTTTTATCTTAAATTAATATTTCTAATTTCTAGTTTTAATAGTCAATCATTTTATTCAACTCAAATCGACAACACAGGAATTAGCATAATGTGACTTATGTCATATCAGTCGTATTTCAGCTTCACCTTTGTTTCCTTTCTTTCTCAATCTTGTCAAACAGATTTGGTTTCATTATATAAATACTCAATGAAAGAACAAATGCATTATTTTTACTTTTACGTATTTAAATTTTATAATAATACATGTAAGCTTAAAACGTATTACCTTGACTGCAAGAACTACCCTGCCAACCTGAAGCACAATGGTCTACTGAACATAACCCGTCGATATTATTGCATGAAGATCCATTATAACAGTGACATTCACTTGCACAATTTTGACCAAACTTTCCGTGAGAACATGCTAAATCAAGATAAACAAACACTCAAATCTTTTCTTGAATTTTTTGTAAATTTGAGCATATGCTTAAATGGCCGGCGTTTTCAATGATTCGAAGATATTAAAGGGAAACAAAACTCATATTAATTTCAATCAACTTTATGCATTTATCCATCTATATTTAGGAGACATATAGATGTTCCTTCACTATGTCCAAATTTTGTGACCACATTGTAGAGGCACGGTCCAGGTTCTAGGTAATATATTTTGCACAAATTCGTTATATAAGTTTTTCGTAAAAGTGCGCTGATGGTCGTCACGAACAGTCACAATTGAAATTCTTAGGTGGATTTAAAGATAGTGTTTACCAATAATATGTTGTACATCATCCCGACGTTTACCACACAAGAGTCGGTATCTAGCTCAAAGGTCAATATTATACTTGTTTGTTCAAAGTCATGATTCGAGTTTTTCTTAAAAGAGTACACATTGTCTTGTCCGGTCATTAATAATAACGCTCCCGGACTAATTTTTAATTAGAAATAATATTTCGGAATATATGTGTCGGTTTCTGTTGACACCGCATAAAGACTATTGACTAATCACCAGGTGTTTTAAGTGAAATAAACTTATGATGAGTTAGTATATTTTAAAATATAGTGACCATTACAACATTGAACGATTACTACGTGTTTGTTTCCATGGCAAAACACGGGTGTCAAAATAGCACACATATGAGTATTTGCACAACCCAATATGTCATAATGATACGACCGATTAAACGTTATCGTGTTCGACCTGATCTAACTTTGTTGTGCGTATATGTTTTATTCTTGAAAGAATTTTTAATAAATAATGCATATATCTGCTACATATTAAGACACGTGTAGTGGGCAAGATCTATGTCAGCCACTCAAAAGTCAGGTCAAAACATATCATATGGCCATGTTCAGACCTCATTTTGACATTTGTCGGAAGATTTAAAAATAGTTGGACTTAAATACGTGGCAATCTAAACAATTTGTAACAGCTAAGAGCAAGTTTGTACTTAAAAGCCAATGGGCGTCCGAAATAGAGTGGTTCAGGTCGATGACATTGATCTGCTTGCCGCTCACCGCGGTTGGCTCGGAGACAACCAGGGACATTTTATACTTTAATGTGAAGCAGTTATCAAGGTAATTTACGGAACGTAGGTGGTTCTACTTAGGTGCAGAGCCTGAAATATTGCAACTGAACTTATCCTTCAAAATAAAGATTTAAATGTGCCTTAAGATGTTTCCTGTGACGGTGTGACTTATAACCCAATAAAAAGTATAAAACCAGCTTTAAGATAAAGGTCACACTAATACATTTAAGGAAAAAATACCTGGTCAAGCCCGATTATCAATCCCGTCACTTGTTGAAGAATTTTTATACTACTAGGATAATTGTGTGGCACATTAAATGATTTTATGTGAGCAAACGCTACTTTGACAATTGGAAATATGATAATACTGACTTTGTCTGGTCATATTCTTTAATTAGATGGACAAACTAAGAATATTCAAACGTGCTTTTAAAGGTTTTTATACTTTTGTTACACTGTTAGTAACCATGACCCTTTACTTGTCCTTCCGCCCGCTGAGGGGTTTTCTTACGCATTTTTAACATGTTGCTACCCTTTTTGTATGAAATATAATTTACTAGATTAAATTAAGTTTTGCGAGATTATATTTTCAACTTGTATACTTACATTCATTGCAAGCAGATCCAACCCATCCAGGGAAGCATAAAGGTGTTTGGCATTCCCCAGTTGTTGAATTGCATACTTTATTGTCTGCACAATGGCATCTTTGAAAACATGATTTTCCAAACCATCCGACATTACAAATGTTATCTGAAATGCATTTTGTCTTTAAAAAGACGTCGTTGTCATAATATTTTAGTCAAATTTAGATTGAAAATTCTGAACTACTCTCTCACACAAAACGAATCTCAAAACTCCATCATCTTTTCACAGTTATAAAATGTGCATAGAAGTAAAATGTGCAGTTTCCACCCAATAGTTGATATGGTTCACTAGACACAGATGTAAACACCCGTATTATCACACCCGCTAACATGTAGCGAGTAAAACAGTTTGATACATAACTTACTATATAAGCTACTCTGCCACACATATTGTGGTCTAAAAACATCAACATATTTGTTTACAGTTATTAGATATTATAAGATGTAAAATTTGAAGTTTTCGCGATATAACTGTGAACTAACAGTTGTTTTGTTTCACTTGACCCAAATATAAATACCGGTACCCCTGCTGTCACACCCGTTAACATGAATCAAACAGGACAATTACTTACTATATACAAATGTCAGTTATAAACTGGATTTCTGCGGTATGTTCTTCTTTGTTAGTTTCTTTTCATAGACATTATTTTCTATGATATATTGTCTAGCAATAGATTTCAGGAAAAACCTACCAAGCGCATAATTGTTCTATCCGCAACCAACTGATCTACTTGCAACCAGTTAACGGGTGTATTTATAATTGAAGTCTCAATATTTACAGTATATTTAAATGTAAGTTTGTAAACCATATAACTTACACAATCAGATTTGTTTCATGTAAATTAGTACCGGATATGACGTAGTTTGTACATATGAAATAATTGTACGAATGTTATTTTCTGTTGTGTACTTATGTGCACATACATATTTTATACTTAGATGCGACAGCAAGATGATGTTTGTAGATAGTTCAACATAAAAGTATCATATTACCATCTGAATAAAGGATAAGCTCACAAATAGTGAGTACATTTCCATAAAGACGAATTCCAAAACTTTGTGCAACAACTGGATCATTTAGAAAATGTACAGAGTGCGTTGAATTCACGATCTTTTGGACAGTGAATAAGAATTTTCCAGAGCCTGACGAGCAGTTCGATGTGTTACATGCATACACTTTAACACCTTGTAGTTGATTGTTGTTATCTGAAATGGTTAATTTCATAGTCTGTTATTTCACACTTGATTGATCAGGAATTTATTTCATACATTGGCTTATTATCTGAAAAATAAGTTAAGAAAACAAAGCTTTAATCGATGCCCTAGACACTAGTTGAAAGTGACCAATAATTGTCCAGCTTATAAATATGATGACCTACCCTTTATTGCAGAAACTGCCAGTATAAAGAAAAGAACGACGCACTTTAAATTTGACTAAACAATTGCATATTCATTTCTCAGACAAACAAAGTTTAACAGCATATTACAAAAGAACTGTTTTCATATTGAAGCTAGAGAAAAATGAATAACTCGATGGAAAGAATTAGCTATGTCATGAATGTTGTTATTCTCACAAGTAATGAAGACGATTGCATTAAAAATCAATGAAGCTTAAAATACAGTGAGGCGTTACATTAAATGTGCACCAGGGTTATTTTCTTGATAAAACTGGCTATAAATAAAAACAATATTATAATTTTCAAAGCATTTTAGACGCATGGTTTCCACTTACTTCAAATATTATGTTTTTCTGTAATAGCGCTATACATTTCTGACACTATTTCACTCACGCACGAAGAGTCGAAATAATGTTTAAAACTGTAACGTTTATTTGACTTATTCTTCTGATTAGCATGCAGGTAACCGAGAAATGATGAATGATATATAATCGGCATTTGTAGATAAACTAGATGTATCAAAATATGAAATATATGTATGAAATACAATTCTCTCCGCATATGAAATGAGAACAAGCAATGGTTATAAAAGTAACAGGGCTAATATGTTTAGGATGTGTTGAGTAAGATAATGAGATAACAGTTCAATGTAAAATAACAATGACTTACTGGTTTCAAATTAATTGCGATTATTCCCTTGTTATGATTATTATCCTCACTAAATCTGAAAAATATCGGTCAATGCGTCATGTATTTCTAAGACAAGGTCTGTACTTCCCACGAAGTGTAACCAAATTATTGGTCAGACAGGATTTCGGTGACGTTAGGTTTATAATCTTAAAAAAACTGTAAGAGTAGTAAACGAGTTATTGTAGACTTCAAAACAGAATCTTATACTACAACCTCTGGCAAAATATGAGAATAAAGATCAACAAGGAAACGTTGTCCGCACTAATCCAATAGCAATGGTACCAAAGAAACTCAAGAATCAGGTTCTGATATATTTGGCTTATGTACTGACTGACAAACGTACCGACAGGAACAACATGATTAAACGTTCTTAAAATGTTTACTTCATAAATCTAAAATAACTATAACTTATTATATACCCAAATCGCTTCTTCCATATAACTCCACCACGTAAATCGTGTAGTTTTCTCTTAGATCTACCTGCCACCACGATGGGGAAGGCGTTGCTTGTGTAACACTACAGCAATTACAATGGTCTACGTCATAGTTATCTATTCCGTCGATCGCATTGTATGGAGGATTATCCATGAACATGCTGGATTGACTTGTAATTGCAGTTTTTCGTAAAAGGCTTAGCAGATCGATGGCTGAAGCATGATCAAAATAACATGTTCAGAGAACAATTAAATTTCAATATGACATCGCAATGTACGTAAATGTAGCAAATCTAAAAGTTTCAGTAAATTGCAAGACATTATTCCTACCTATAGGATATAGCAGATACTGAATGACTGTACGCTTAATATTGAATTTATTGACTGCGTTGAATAAAAATATTTTATGCGAACCTGTGGCGAGCATAATTTTAATTTATTCAACGAGTTACATAAATTTAGTATAAGACTTACATATTTATCACATACCAAAAATAAAGACCGTTTAAAGTGAAATAGAACTATTTTTCATTGTCGCACCTATAGCATAACGCGAAAATTTAGCGCGTCTTAACGCTATGTTTAGGGGACATATTCGAATGATGGCCCCGGTCAATTTTTTTAATAACTCAGACATGGTGTTTTGAAAGTACTGGAAACTTCTGATATTTCTCTGTCATTGTAATTCTTTCTTGTTTGTGTGTAGGAAATGAGCAGTTTTTTTTTTTTTTTTGGGGGGGGGTTACCCGAAACTAAGCATTTTGGTAGCTTTGTATGTATTTGTGACTCTCCGAATGGAGGTGAAAAAGTTAAAAATCAAGCTTTGACAGTTGGCGCCAAACAAGTAAGAAATTTCGGATAAATTTTGTGCAAAATCTAAACGTATGATAGACACTTTTTTGGTCATTTTTGAAAATGCCATAGCTTGCACTGCGTGTTAGTGATCTTTCAGGGGAGGTAATAAAAATTTGAAATTTTGGCAAAAATTGTACTTCACAGAATGTGCACATTTATCCAGATTAAACAGTTTTATATTGTGCAAAATGACAAAATAATGCATGATTGGGCACTTTTAAATGTTACAAATGTATATAATGTCATATAAGTCAACAGTGGTGTCTTTACGGCACTTTTAGCTGTATGCCCAAATAAATGAGGTCTGGTTTGCTGTAAAATTCATTTTGTGACATTAAATGTGGCTGTAATCTTGTTTTTCTATCTATAATCTCCTTCCAAAAGACTTTAAATACTCTGAAAATACTTTATGGTATTTAAATGAAGGTGGAATACAGAAAAATGACCATATCACAGTTTCCTGGCACTTGATATTAAGTAAATCATATAACAGGCATGGTCATTGTACTAGTTACTTCCCCTGAAATAGGTTTTTTTTTAAATCTTTGATTAAATACAAAGTAACCACAGTACACACTTTTCGAAGTTAACGTTTAATGCGAAATACTCCATATTTTAAGAAAATAAAATGAAACGCTTTAGTGAGGACCACATAAAAAACTTAAAGGGGCAGGGGACAAATTCGAATGATGGCCCCGGTCAAATTTTTTAATAACTCAGACATGGTGTTTTGAAGGTACTGGTAACTTCTGATATTTCTCTGTCATTGTAATTCTTTCTTGTTTGTGTGTATGTATTTGTGACTCTCCGAATGGAGGTGAAAAAGTTAAAAATCAAGCTTTGACAGTTGGCGCCAAACAAGTAAGAAATTTCGGATAAATTTTGTGAAAAACCTAAATGTATGACAGACACTTTATTGGTCATTTTTGAAAATGCCATAGCTTGCACTGCGTGTTAGTGATATTTTTAATGAATCGGGCGAATTCTGGAGTATGCTTCACCTTCATGAAGATTGCCCATATTGGTATATTTTAGGTGTGATTTTGGCTGGGTGGGGGTAAATATAAATTGCTGTCAGTTATTTTTTTTAAGGAGCAATGCATGCAAACTATTATTTTCTTCAATGTATGTCATATATCATTGAATAATGCTGTGCAACTGGTAATCTGCCTGTGAAACAGATTTTGAAATATTTGGAATTATGTTTCTGGCCACACTGAAATACAAAATTGTTCATTTTTAGGTCACCTGCCCCCTTATATAACGAAAATAAAGTCACGTCAAAATATATGCACCGCCGTGAAATGCCATTTTTACGGAGTCGCAAAAGTGGCACGGTTATGTGATGAAAGAAAATATCGAATACATTTGATTTGAGTGCTTTCAAAATGGGTTCGCAGCTTGTATGATTATAAGTTTTATAAAGCAAGCTACCATTGTTATAAATGTATTGCAAGTTAAGTCATTTTTGCTTACAGTAGGTTTGCTTTCTCTTTAGTGACAAGATAAGGAGTTTACCTATTTTACTTGTTGTTATTTATAAGTATTCTTCGTGTCATGCACATAACACATTCGTCGACATTAATTCTAAATCATAGGCTGTTAGAACGATTATTATGACAACCCATATTATGGCGCCACGAAATCATACCGCCTTATCTGTTACCAATTTCAACTTGGAGAGAAGCGGAGCAATTTATGTGAAATAATGTGTTTGCTCAATGAAATAAGCGATGTCCCGGATAAGGATTGAATTCGGGGCCTTTCGTTAACAAATCAAGTGTACTATACTCAGTTGGTAGAGCCGCAGAACTGTATTCCGAGGATCTCGGTAAGGCGGATGACACATTTCCCTTAAAATGTGGCGCAAATGGGGGACTATGACTTTATTTAATTCAAAGTTAAATTTGCATGGCTATGTTACCGTGATGATTTCAATGACGAATTTCAAAATAGCAGTGGAAAATGACAAGGTTTAGACTTTTGTTATCGATAAAGGAGTCATATTGACACCATGTGTGGAATAAAAACAATTTGCGGATGCACAGTATCATTTTTAAATCTAAATTACTTAAAAGTACAATAATTCTTTCTGTTCATATCATATCCATATGTGTATCATCACAGAGATAAGTTTTGTTTTAACTCGATCGAATAATAATATTAAAGGTTTGTAATAAAAGTACGGTTAATTTTATATCTAAATAGAATATCCTCAGTAATAGTTTAATATCGCATAAATCAAAAACTGCTTTTAAATATAAATTTGATATGTACTCACTATCTTGAACAATCTTTATCTCGCATATTGTCAACACACTTGAAACTGAACGTCGTATCATCAAATATCTAAATAGGTATGAACTTGATGCGTGTAGTTCATACAAGTGACTGTTATTTTTCGTATTACCATTATATATCAACATTCCACTAGTTCCTGTTAATGACGTGTTGCTTACATATACTGAAATGTCCTGATACTGGTCCATGTTTGCTATGAAAGAACAAAAAGTAAAAGTAGCACAATATTATTTGCACATTAAAATCGAAACTTGAAATAACGTTTTATTTGTCTATGCCTGACATGAAAATACACATTTAAATACACATTATGGCACTTTGACTCATATAAGGATTAAAGGAACTTAGATGGGGTTCTCTAACATGACAGGACTGCAAATATTCACACCATACGCTCATTCCGAAAAGGTGGTTCAATCATTTAAATTGCGAAAGATTACCGAAAAATGTAAAACATTTATACGCTCACGCTTGAAGTTTAAAATGGACTAAGACTTGAAAGAATTGAACAAAACAGAAAAAAGACAACGATTCTTAATTTAATTTCTTTCTTTCTTTGTTCCTGAATTTATATATGAAAAAAATGTGTTTAGCGACCACAGGGGAGCTGTTTGTTTGTCCTTTTCTTATACCTAGGATTTTGTATAGTGTTACTTGCTAAAAACCAAACATCTTTAAAATATACACTCGGAATTAGATATTAGACGTAATATGTGAACAACAAGAGATTTTAAACAATTTGAATAGATGAAGTGAATATCAAATACTTGATTGCTTTTGAATGTTGTTCTTACTACAGGTTAGTTGTGGAAATTGAGAAGCATACCTTCATCTGATCGTCCAAATATCCGAATGACACTGACTCTATAAATTCTGCCCAAGTCTAATTGTATCCATGGTGGTTCGGTACCTGATGTTGAAGCACAACACCTGCATGTGTTTGGGTCTCCTAGATAGACATTGTCTACAGCATTGTAACTATCCCAGGATGTATCTGGAACATTATAATTGCTGGTACTCGACATCGTTACTGACACTTGTGCCTTTATTCTTTGAACTAGGTTGTCTACCGGCACTTTTAAAGAATAAGGATTACATTATATTCTACACGAAAGCATTCTTATCTAGTAATTTTTAAATAATGTACTTAAAGGTGTTGAAAGAAAATAATCATAATGAGAGCAATTCGAAAATCATATATATTACAGCATATTATAAATATATGGATAATTAGTCTTTATTATTGTTTAATATTTTACGTGAAACTATCAATTTAGGTTCGTGACGTGTTTTCCAAAATTTTGGTGGAAACGTTAAACTCTCTAAATGTGTCATGTTTGAATTTATTTATTAAATTACGTTCACTTACTTGTCTTCTGTGACAATACTGCATGATAACGTAGATATAATAACAAAATGAAAACATAAGTTATCCTTGAATACATCTCTGCATTGAAAAAAAGTAACACATAAGACAACAATTCATTTTTTTTTACTTTCTTTTCATAATAACATATTTCTTTCTACTCATCTAGGGTAGTTATAAATAGATATTCACTTTTCAGCTTATCAGCCATAAATTATCATTATCATTTGAAATAGCCTTGTATTTTGATAAAGTAAGTAAAGATTTGATCATAACCTTAAAGATAATATGTCGTATGCAGTATGATAGCTTTCAATTTATTAGTAATAGATAAATGCTAAACTGGGCATTCCCTTCTTCATTTAGAGAGTCATTTTAATCACCATTACAAAGTATTTCGTTGTTTTTTTAGTTTGATGCATAGTTTATTACTTGGTGCTGGTAAACTTTAATCAGCAATTTTCACTTGACCTTGTTATTAAAAGCAGTACATGTAAAGGACAAGGTAAAGCTAATAAAGGGCAAAAATTGACGATGTGAAATACTGCAAAAATCAATAATAATTTGTATTGAAAATAATACATTTAGTAGTATTTACTTTCATTTTGTTTTGTGTTTTTTTAGTTATAAACTACCATTATGATCGAAGTTCAATGTGCATGCCTACAGTTAAAAAACCAGTCACAGAGTATAAAAACATAACAAGGCCAGAAAAATTATGCTTATGCGATAGTTGTTCTTTCTAGATGCCTGAAAGTAATACCATATACTTTGTCAATGGTACTTTGTCATTTTGTAACATTAAAACGAAAATTTCTCTGTCGATGTTTGATTGACATTACCCCAAAGTAACCTAAGTGAAGGAAATTATGCTACTTTAACTAACATATATATTCAAACTTAGTTCGCTCAAACCCGTTAAAGGCTTGCAAATGTGTTCGAGAGATCGGTAGTTACAGCCAACAGCGGATGAATTTTTGTCTTGTATGTTCCTTTTTGGAGACATAGATGGAAAAGTGATCCTGGTTATATATTTTTTTATTATGGTTTAAAATGATACAAATTCCTAAGCCCTTAGATAATGGAAGCACACCTATAGTGTGGCTGCTACCGAAAGACGGTTGTGTATCTGAGGACAAAGTGTATGTTTTGCGACATTTTCGTTTGGCGTGATGATACTGAATATAGGTGACCGCTGATTCAATTTTTACGTTAGATGATATCATATCACTTGTATATCCTTTGCAGACAGTATACTTCTAACTCAAGATCCATATATTTGTTCAAATGATGAGCATACTACGTTTAATAATGATTTACAACCTTATTGAATAATAAAAAACGCTTAAACGTGCCTTGAAGCATACTGGCAGTAACGAAAGTTATCACAAGTACTCTGGGACATTTGAAAAATCGGGCATGATTTGTTAGCTTGCATTTTTGCATTATAATTATGTAATTATATTTTGCAATGATTAAGATCACAAATACACGGGTCAATGCGTGCGAATTAGCATATAATTTGGAGATTTTACTCAAAACTACCAGGTGTTAGACAAGAGACGCTGAAAAAGGGGCTATAAATTAGTTTTTGACACAAGTATAAGATGTAAGGCAAACTCAATAATGACATTTTAATTAAACACCTTAAACTCACATTTTAAAGATGAAAATGACCATTTTTGACGAGTGTTTCTGTAGTATATAGAGACGTTTTCCGACAAACTCCGTGACAGTTATCACAAGAACCCCTGACAAGTTATCATAAGAACACCATTCATCGTAATAGTTCCTCCCCCGTGAAAATATCGTATGTTACTCAGGAACAAATGCTGTTTTTAAACACTGTATATAAACCTTAAAGATATTTTGTATCTGACAGCTATATCTAGACATACTGCCTTGTAACCTTAGGTTGTTTAGTAGTGAAATAAGAATGTCTTCTCATTCCGTGCGTATACAAACAGGTAGATATGGTTCGAATAGAGTTGCTAGAAATGTACGTTATTGTACATACTGTAATACACAGGACCTTGAAGACAAATATCATTTTAAACTTATATGTCCATGCTATAATAACATCAGAAAAATAGATATAACGTTACTATTATATCACTCCCGGTGGAGAGTTGTTAAATGCAAAAATGAAAAGATTATTTTAAAAAGCCTTGCTAGTTATATTAAGCTCGCACTTTCTCATAGAACTTCGTGAAACATGGCACTAACCAATCCAAAAGACATCGAAGATGACGACATTATCGAGATTAAAAGTTACTAGAGAAGAGAAGAAAGCACAGTATATTGGCAATTCTTTCAGTGTCATGTTTCGGCAATACAATGGAATTCTTTGTAAGCCTGGGCCCGTCTTATCAACGGCCGTAAGATCGTTTTATCGTACGATTGTTGTACGTCGAGTGTACGATTTGGGCGGTATTTTATCAAACGTCGCAAATTTCCTTAATTGTAAGATTATCGTAAGATCGTGCATTTTTTCTACGATTGCTTAGAAACACGCGCAGATCAAACAAAATGGCCGCCTTGCTACTTATTAACGAGCAACGCCGACGAAAATGACGCTGTTTTAGGCAACGAACGGTTAATATTGATTAAGGAACCTGTGAGATGATAAGCATCTGAAAAATGTTAACATAGTACACATTTAGTATTTCGACTCCGCTTTTCATGGAAAGGCACGAAAGTGTCACATTGAAAGTTCCATGATAACCGCCGTATGAACACATCTGCGGATGTTTATAAATTAAAAATTTCACCATTACTATGATTAAATGTTGATTTCTGCTTAAGCCGGTGCCAGGGGGCATGGTCGGTAGTTTGCTCCATGAACAAGATCAATCAAACCGAGCTTACAAAATATCACAGGACCTTTTAAGATCCTGTATGTTCTGATAAGAGTGGTTAACCACACAAAGTGTACATAATTATGCAGATAAAACAATTTTCAAACATCGAATAATATGGAAAATATGTACTGCAAATGTTTGTGAATATTATATGTATTCATCAAAATATATACATTCATTTCTAATTGTAAAATTTGTCTTAAATTTTATAGAAAATGATTTTCATTACCTCCCTTTATTTACATGAAATGTTAAATTCGGTAATATATTTATAATTAATAGTTTTTGGAACCTACAATATTTATAAATCTTAATTTGAGCATCATATTTATGATATAAAACCATAAAAAAATTGTGAAACAGGATCTTTAAAGTATGTCAAAAAATAAATCAGACTTTACTGCTATTATTGACATCATTTCAAAGTCCTGTGCAAAATATTGATTCACTATAATTGCCAAAATAAGTATTTTTGTCGCAGATATTGCGATATACATGTATCTTAAAATACTATTTTTTTATTTTAAACCATTTTCTTACTAAGTTACGTCATATATCACCGTGCCTTTAAAGTTCTTTAGTTAAGTTATCCGACGGTGAAGATGTAGTAGCATTTTGCACGTGTTTTATCAGCCACTTCAATGTTTTTCACGTGCATTTAGAAAATCTATTGTTTAAGTTCCCCGAAGGTGAATTATTGTGCACGAGATATTTATGTTTCCATGTTTTAAATGCTTTTCTTGCTATGCTTAATTGTAAAGGCGGGAAAGTTTTGCTATATATATTGGGACGTTTTTAAGTTACGGGGGTGGGAGTGAAATAAAATTAGTAAGACTGATTTGTTAATAAAAGGTTGTTAAGTAAAATGATTGGATTATATGTGTGATAACTAAATAAAATTGTTTAAATGGATTAAAATTCTATAAGGAAATGTATTCTTTCCTCCAATGTCTTGGATTATAAAATAAAATATAAAGGAAATTCACGACATTGAGTGGCGCCGGAACCCGGGAAAGAACCAATAGAATAAAATGTCTTCTGTGCCTTATGTCAAAGGTGTTCAAACAAGATTTAGGAATGCACTTTCTACATAAGTTTCAGAAGGTAATCAATTCATCCATACCGATGTTTATGATATGGAAAGAAGTGATGCTCTCGATTCAATTAATTGAGAGCTTCATTGAAAAAATAGATTTATATGTTGCAAAAATTGAAATGCAATCGGAACAACTAGTTTATGTCATATCCGAGTCAGAACCGGAGAATACAGGGTATTTAAAATGATTGTTGAAGATAATGAAACAATATATTCAGATATTCACACGCATCTGAATTCAATTGCATCTGAAAATAATTAAAGAAAGGCTTAGAAAAGAGTGAGACTAACCAAATATGTCCTATGAATATAGGGAAATGGTATAAGGAAATGATTTATTTGCAACACGAGTTTCAAAATCTTGTTGTGTCACAAATTAAGCAACAAGAGAATCAAATGACGTTGCAACAAGCTTTTCTTGAACGTCAAGAAAAGAAAGATTCTGATAAAACAATGGACGTTAAATTACCAAAGGTAGACATGTGTTCATTCAATGGCGATAAGTTGAAGTGGTGTGAGATTTGGGATACATTTAATACATCAGTTCACAGTTACAAAGACATTTACGATATTCAAAAGTTCAATTATCTACGAAGCAAACTATATGGAGAAACTAGAAGTGCAATATCTGGTTAAGAGCTTTCTTGTGACATTATCATGACAATGGATGATATCAAGTGTTAGCCCTAGAGGACCCTATAAAAGTTTTTGTCCTAGGGAACATTCTACCAGTTTCGGTCCGAAAGGACCAACACTTAGAAGAGATTTTAATGGCGAAAACAATAAAATAACATCCTGTAAAGCTCTCATGGCTAATAATGGAAATAAAAAAGGCTCTGTGAGCACTTATACTGTTCGTAAAGATTATTCTACATTATGTAGATATTGCGAAAAGGGGCACTGGAGTGATGAATGCCCTAAGTACCGATCTACAGAAGAAAGAAAAAGAATGCTGAAAAATAGTTGTTTCAATTGCCTCAAATGCGGACATAAATAAACCGAATGTAAACCAGGAAAAATGTATGCACATTGTGATGACAGACATATTCATCACATAAGCTTGTGCATAGCTAAATTCAAAGCTTCAAATACAAATTCAAATTTATCAAGAGAAGTGGTCAATGAGCAATGCAATAATAATACCGCTACTGAAACGTCACAAGAAGTTGGTATTTTACCCGAAGTTGGAATGTTTTCATCTGATAATATGATACTTATGCA